AACATGTTATTTTTACAAACAAAAACAAAATTATTGGCCAAGTAGCTTCAAATTCAATAGACTAATTTTTTCCAAGCGACTTTCTAAATTGCTTTTTTCGGCTAGCATCTACTTAAAATCAACAATTTTTCTGAATATAAATGAATAAATTGTTTGAAAGGAAGGAATTTTGAGCCATTTTTCATTTTTAGTTAAAGTATTTTCCGAATTTTAACGACATATTATTCTCTAAGTAGAAATAACGTGAAGTCTTACTAACCACATGCTCTGTTTTACTTAATAAATGAGTTAACTTCGCAAAAATATTAATTTTTCGATACCTCCATGTATGGAATTTTTGACTTTGTTCGAGCACCTTTGATAACTATTAAAAGAAAATCTTATGTTGATTTCGACCACCAGAAGTTGTTCTTGGTTACTTTTTATCCCAAAATTCCTGAAATTATGTCAGAATCCCCAAAATAAAATTTGGCAGTTTTTAAAATACCGTAAAACTTGGAATTTGAAACTGAATATTTCGAAAATTCTGATCCGGAACCATCAAATCACTAACGATGTTTTTTTCAGTACCTATCGTACGAAATTTTTTACCTTTCCCCGAACACGTTATAGACTTACCAGTTTTTTTTTTTTTTTTGTTAATTTCGACCTCCAGAAGTTGTTTTCGGCTTTATTTTCCCCAAATTTCTGGAACTTTTCCAGAATGCCCAAAATAAAATATGGCAATCCTTAGAATATTTTTACTTCCCGAGCGTAAGCAAAGGAAGTATTGTAATCGAGTCCGTCGGCCGACTCTCTACTTTTACGTTTTCTCGATCTTTCATGACCCCTAGAAGACGAAGAAATAGGTCTCCATTTCCGTCTGTCTGTCCGTCTGTCCGTCCGTCTGTCCGTCTGTCCGTCTGCCGTCCCGGATTTTTATTAGACAGATAATCTCCGAAAGTACTCGACCGATTGTTGTGAAATTTTGTACTTATATTAAGAATATCATGTAGATGGTAAAACGCTAACCAAAATTTGTCTAATCATCCCCACCACTAATGCGATGACGTCACTTCAAAATTGTACATAGTAAATGGGTTTTCAATTGTATAAAATAACATAGTCCTACACATGTAGTTTACAACTCTGAATCGACTTTTCACCCGAAACGTCCAGATTTTTGGAAAAAAAATCAAAATTATCAAACAACATTTTGAAATTTAATTTTTAATCTGCTAACCAGAATGCTTTGAAATGTTGCAGATGTTTTAAGGCTATAAAGAGCATCATAAATCTTTAGTCAAAAAATATTTGCTTATCCCCTCCAAAAACTTGATGACGTCAGCTCAAAAGTTTGTGGAATAAATCATATCTAAAATGTACAAAATATGATGAGTCTGTACTTGTGATCTATCACTCCATTCATATTTTTTGGATTTGCATATACAGGGTGACTCAAAAAAATTAATGAATGCGTAAATTTATTTTACTGATTTACTCAGAAACTACAAAACCGAATGCTTTGAAATCTTGCAGATGTTTTAAGGTTATAAAGAGCATAATAAATGTTTAGTCAAAATATATTTGCTTATCCCCTCCAAAAAATTGATGACGTCAGCTCGAAAGTTTGCCGAATAAATCCTATCCAAACTGTAAAAATATGATGAGTCTGTACTTGTAATTTATCACTCCATTCATATTTTTTGGATTTGCATATACAGGGTGACTCAAAAAAATTAATGAATGCGTAAATATATTTTATTGATTTAATCAGGAACTACAAAACGGAATGCTCTGACATCTTGCAGATGTTTTAAGGTTATAAAGGGCATAATAAATGTTTAGTCAAAATATATTTGCTTATCCCCTCCAAAAACTTGATGACGTCAGCTAGAAAATTTGTCGAATAAATCATATCTAAAATGTACAAAATATGATCAGTCTGTACTTGTGATTTATCATTCCATTCATATTTTTGGATTTGCATATGCAGGGTGACTCAAAAAAATTAATGAAGGCGTGAATTTATTTTATCGATTTAATCAGGAATTACAAAACCGAATGCTTTGAAATCTTGGGAATATTTTAAAGTTATTATAAGCATGGTAAACTTTTGTTCAAAATGTATTTCTTCATCCCTCCTAAAAAAATTGATGACGTCACCCTTAAATTTTGCTGAATAAATCCTATCTAAAATGCAAAAAATATGATGAGTTTGTACTTGTGATTTATCATTCCATTCATATTTTTTAGATTTTCTTAAGAGGTGGTTCAAAAAAATTAATGAAGTCAATTTATTTTATTGATTAAATTAAAGGCAACACTTATTATTAGTATTACACCCCAACCAACCCAATTTGGTAGACACAAAATTTGTTAAAGGAAAAACTCGGTTGAAACATAAGGGTAGCACGCTTATTTACATCGACTTTAACATTACAGACCTGCATTTGTTTTATGCGCTCACTTGGTTCCGCGAATGTGAAATAGACATGTTTATAATCAACCAATTGTGAATTTCACCGTCAAGAATTAAAATAAAACCCAATGTTTTATATAATAAGCGGAAGTCGAAGCAATAAAACCGATGGTCGTTTTGTTTACAGTTTCTCTGTTTGACTCTCACGTATGCTGTTACGCCTGTCATCTTAAATTAAGAATGTTTATACATACACGATTTTCAGTTGCCTCTGATACGTATACGTGAGTAAATTGTTTCGTTATTTTATTGATTATTACAAATCAATATTCAAAACGACTCAATTCATTTTCCCGAAAATTTGAGAATATAATAATTTTATTCTTAGTATTACACTACATCTATCCCAACTGATATACGTGTCCTTGCAAAAATGTTGATGACGTCATCGCAATTTTTTTTTAAATTCCCACTACAAAAATGTAATGAGAAAAAAAACACAATAGGCATGCAGTCGTCAAGTTTCCGACAGCGAGGGAAGTACTGTCTAAACTCTTTAGACCAATTTTTTTCAGTGCCTATCGTACGAAATTTTTTACCTTCCCCCAAACACGCTATAGACTTACCAAACAATTTTTTTTTTTTGTTAATTTCGACCTCCAGAAGTTGTTTTCGGCTTTATTTTCCCCAAATTTCTGGAAAATAAAATATGGCAATCCTTAGAATATTGTAAAAATTTAAATTTGAAACCGAATACTTCGAAAACTTTGGTCCGAGATCATCATCTCAGTACTAACATAAGATTGACTGTTTCAAATGATATAACCTATAAGAAAACAGAGGGCGGGGCTAGTACTTGCTAAAAAAACCCTGACTTTGGTTGATGGCATACCTTCTAAAAAAATAAAGGGCGCGTGGGCGGGACTAGTACTTACTAAGATAAGACTTATTTTGGCAAATGACACCTTTCTATTTTTTTAGAATGTATCATTTGCCAAAATGAATCTTATCTTAGCAAGTACTGGCCCCGCCCACCCGCCCTCTATTTTCTTAGAGAATATATCATTTGAAAAAGTCAGTCTGTTTTCTTAGAGGGTGTTTCATTTGCCAAAATCAGTCGTATCTTAGCAAGTATTAACCCTGCTCACCTGTCCTGGCGGAGCTAGTATTTACTAAGATAAGACTTATGTTTTCAAATGATATAACCTAAAAGAAAATACAGGGCGGGTGGGCGGGGCTAGCACTTGGTAAGGTATACTGATTTTGGCGAATAACATACCCTCGAAGAAAAGAAAGGGCGGGTGGGTGGGGCTAATGCTTACTAAAATTTAGGCAAATGGCAAAGGGTGTATCCTCTATTTTCTTAGAAGGTATCATTTGCCAAAATCAGTCTTACCTTAGCAAGTAGTAGCCCCGCCCACCCGCCCGTTATTTTCTTAGAGGGTATGTGATTTGCCAAAATCACTCTTATCTTAGCAGTTTTAGTTTTTCAGTTAAATGCGTGGTGACCTCCTATATCCCAAAACTTAGTGCATGTTTAGGCAACTTCGCTAAAATCTTATTCTTTCAGTACCTCTCGTATGAAATTTTTGATTTTCCCCGAACACTTTAAAAAATTACGAAAAGACTTTTTTTGTTAATTTCGACCTCCAGCAATAGTTTTCGGTGTCGTCTTCCGAAATTCGTGGAATATTGCTAGAATCGCCAAAATAAAAAATGACCATCCTTGGAATATTGTAAAAATTTGAATTCAAAACAGAATAGTCTTCTATTTCCCAGAATTTTTAGTGAATTTTCAAGCAACTTCACCAATATATTAATTTTTCGATACCTCCATGTATGGAATTTTTGACTTTGTTCGAGCACCTTTGATAACTATTAAAAGAAAATCTTATGTTGACTTCGACCACCAGAAGTTGTTCTTGGTTACGTTTTTTCCCAAAATTCCTGGAATTATGTCACAATCCCCAAAATAAATGTTGGCAGTTTTTAAAATACCGTAAAAGTTTGAATTTGAAACAGAATATTTCGAAAATTATCCGGAACCATCAACACACAAACGATGCTTTTTTCCGTTGGCAAATCTTATCTCAGCAAGTACTAGCGATATGTTGATATAGTTTTTACCTTTCTCGTTTTTTTTAACGTAACAATAGAATCAAATTCACCATTTTTGTGATGTTCCACGAAAAAATAACGCGTCTTGGCCAACTAGAGCAGAAATTTAAAAGATTACCCGATATATAGATTTTTTCTTTATTTCAAACCTGCATTGTTTAAATGGTAACCACATTTTTTAAACAATGAGTAAATGCCAAGAAGACAAAAAATACCAAGCCAAAATTACACAAAAGGGAAATATTTTTTTTTGATAAACACAATTTGCAAAATTAAATTTCTGTATTTCTATATCTCATACTGATTACTTTTAAACTACAAACCCGAGTATTTTTAAACTTCTTAGTTTTCAAATATTTTAATTTGCATAACTAAATATCTAAAAACCTTTCATTTTTATTGCTTTTTGAACATATTTTTAGTAATGCCATTAATTCATGTGCTTTTGTTACATATTTAATAATGCAGAATATTTCTATAGATAGCCTTATCGATCAAAAAAGCGAATGAGGACTACGCGCCCATGACTGAGGGCAAAGAAGCTCATTGGGAAGTAGTCGAACGAATTCTTTTCCTTTACGCGAAACTAAACCCTGGCCAGAGTTATGTCCAAGGAATGAACGAAATAATAGGTCCTATTTACCACGCTTTCGCCTCCGATCCTGACGTAACATTTCGAGGTAAAATCCTTTTTACCCTACAAATATTTTCTTTTTTTTTTTTGTTTGTTTTTAGAACACGCCGAATGTGACAGCTTCTTTTGTTTCACCAACCTAATGTCTGAAATTCGCGATTTCTTTATAAAAAGCCTCGACGAGACCGACCATGGAATCAACAAAATGATGAGCCGAATGTTACAACAATTAAAAAACAGCGACTTAGACGTGTGGCTGAAGTTCCAACAGTTGGAACTGAAGCCACAGTATTACAGTTTTAGGTAAGAATTAAACGTACAAGTAACGTGCTCTATTTATTATATTTAGGTGGATCACTCTTTTACTGTCGCAAGAATTTCCCCTACCCGACGTGCTCAGGATATGGGATACGTTATTCTCGGATGAGTCGAGATTCGATTTTTTGATTTATGTTTGTTGTGCTATGATCGTGTAAGTGCCACTTTACCGCTTTTGTATTGTTAGTAATCCACAACGTTTCAGTATATTGAGGAATAGGCTGTTAAACGGCGATTTTCCGTCCAATTTAAAATTGTTACAAAACTTCCCACCCATGGATGTACAGATAATTTTATCCAAGGCTGTTGAATTGTCTCAACAAAAAAACTAGCTTTAAGCGTACTATATTATTTCCAAATTCGAATTTTGCTATTTTAGTGTCACGTTGCCATCCTGTTACTTTACTCATTTTTTTCTCGTTTCTCGTGTAAGTGTATCCAATATTCATTACTCTAATTGGTCAATTTGTTATCATCATTTTGCATGAAGTAGAGGCTCAATAATTGACCAATAACATCACACTTTTTACTCATGCGCGTTTCAGTTACTGATCCCTGTTTTGTACGTATCAATGACAATCAGCCTTAAGGGGATCTCTGTTCCTATTACATTAAACATTAAAAACGAACATCACATAATCGTGATTTTATTTAGTTGTAAGCATTTATCTACATTATGTACTCTAATAAGTGTGTAGTGGATAGAAAAAACCATGACAGGAAATGAAAATGCCCAAAGCCTTACAATTGCCGTTTTTACGTTTCCTGCACTGGCAACGGCCGTGTTACCGAACTTCCATATTTGAAGTCAATTTTATACTTTTCATAATATTGTAAGCAGTTAAAATCTTATTTTATTAATAAAATTTGTTAAAACGTAAATTTTTATTTATTGGTTAATTCTTCTTTTGAATGAAATTCTTTGGCAAAAGTCTGGGCTACTAACAATGGAAACACTAAACTAGCTTCAGCGTAAATTTTGACAGGCTTTGCTTCCTTTTTTATTTTCCCCCACGATTTAGCTTCATCGGGTCTTGCCCCAGAGTCACTACCATCAAATTCTGAAGACGTGTTTAGATAAACACAATAATCAGCGCCATTTCTCTGAAATATTTCCAAATTATTTAATTTTAATAAAATTAATAATTATAGTACCATCAGATTGGCGTTACAAATGTGATGTTTCACTAGACCCCCTCCTATGATTATCATTCCACTATGGATAGATTTCATTGCCATTAAATTAAGTTGTCTCAGATCTGTAAAAATATTATTTTTAACTTACTTTAGCACTTTATAAAAGCAAAAAATACCTGAAATTATGTCTAATATAAGTCCTGGATTTCGAAATGAGTGCATGAACATCATGTCTCCAATACTCCCATCAGTCAAGGCTGGACAAAAAACAGGAATTTTGTTCTTGGCAGTCCAATAATAAATACTTTCTTCGTTATTTATTCTCTCCCCTAATCTATTAATTACTTTACTAGGACTCCACAACGCCCCCTGTTTTTGTTCATTTAACATTTCATCCAGCAAAGGCATAATCCAATTTTCAAATTCACAATAATTATCATTAGGGACTAACAAATTTCCAATTCTATTAATTCCATTATTTCTTAAATTAACACCATCTAAACTAAAGTCCCCTAAGTATGTAGACGCCATACATTTAATAAAATCCTCTTCAACGCCGCCAGCGGTCGTCACAATACAATCTACCTATAAAAATTCACTTTATAAAAAAATCGTGGATGTTTGTTTCTTACCATTTTATGCTGCACTAAAAATTTGATCGTTTCTCGTAATCCACTAGACACGATATTTGAGGTATAACCCAGGAAAATAGTGCAGTTGCTTTTGACCCCAATAAAAGGGTCTTCATCATCCACATATCGGTCTTCGGAAATCGGGGCCTTGCGACACTCGATCATTCGATTGATTTCTTCCACCGCTAAACCAAAATTAGTAGCTTGAAAACCGGTGTGCAAAAAACTGTTGAGTAATTTATCATAGTTGAGACCCTGACTCCAATCATAACCAGCCACTTTTTCTTTAAGAAGTGACGAATCTTTAGTTTTTTGAAGCACAGCGTCGGATACAGACTCAAGGGGCACAGCCATCGTCACCACATAACCTCAAAACATACAAAAATTCAAAACAACTTGATAGTTGACATAATTTAGGGTGAAACACGTCATTAACATAATAACAAAATCACTACTAATTTTTGAAAACAAAAACGATTTTTTTGTATTCGTGTACAATTTACAATTAATTAGTGAATCGATGTCAAGACTGCACGAATTTTGACGCTTCTGGTATTAATTTAAAGCACTTATTGTTTATTTTTATCTTACATATTTGCGCAGAAGGTTGGTACACCTGTTTAAATACCTTGGCGCCAATCGGTTCTCAACGCATTGTTTTCATGTGTCAGTAATTTAACAAAAAAATGAACTCTAATCAAAATTTTACAAGTTTATGACTTAAAACGTGTGACAATGCAGTTTAATTAAGCGTGTGTATTATTCAAGCCAAGATGTCGAGTTCTTCCAGCCAAATGCCTTCGTCCGACCTTATGGAGTCTCTGCTGAAAGACCCCGTGAAAAGGGCCCTCATTCTTCAATTACTCAACCAAGAGAAAGACAACATCGAGAAATATAAGCGTCAGGAACTTAAAACAAAGACGACTCCTTTGAAAAAGGTGAAAAAGTTGCATTGTGAGAGCCCTACAGCCCTGCAGCGTAGGAGAGCCCTGGAGCAGAAGAATCCAGATACGTCGGAAAGTTCGTCTTCGGAGATTAGTGACGTTCCGACGGAGCTGAAAGGCCCCAAGTTGCCTTTCGAGCAACTTTTGAAGGGGGTGGTGGCTTATGTGGAGGTTAAGAGAGACAATGAGGATCGTTCGGAGGGTATTAAGGCCGTTATGAGGTTAATGGGTTCCACGATTAGAGACAAGTTTACGAATGATGTTACGCATGTTATTTTTAAGGTGAGTGGTGCATTAGAATTGTGTGATTTGATTAGTATATATGTCCGAAAAGTGGTTCAAACAGATAAAAAATTAAGTACCCCAATTTTACAACAATGTTCATACTGTTTTTTTTTTAAGAAAATATTTGATTAACCATGACATTACTAGACTTTATGAACATTCTAGTTCTTAAATCACACATACAAGAGATTTTGTTTTAAATAAATAATTAAATTGCTTTCAAAACTAGAAGCCCTAATTAAGAAAAATAAATACATGTGTGATTGAGAACTGACATTAATTATTTTTTTGACGACAATGTATTTTTCTTGATACGATTTGATTTTTTTTTCAGCAGTACTTCAAAAACTTGGTTGCCATGTAAATTGATTGCTCAGTACGTGATAATTTAAATTTAGCTTTGTTTTTCAGATATTGTTACAAAAAAAAACTTAAATTTGCTTCAAAATTTCGGCTAATTTTTGACAATGTTCGAAATGTAACCAGAAGTGAATTCTTCGGCGGCTCCTTCCATTTTTCCATAATCGCTGGCTAAAATATTGCAATTTATGGTTAAAAGATATTTTATGTTTTTGCGCCGCCCCCACCCTTACCCCCTATAAAATTTTGGATAATTTTTAAAATTGAACTAGACATTTTTTAATGGATTTCGACCTCCAGAATTAGTTTCGGCCTCATTTCTTCTATAGCCATTTCCATTTTTTTTATTATCGCTTACTAAATTATTGTGCATTTTTTTTTAATTAAAAAAAATGACTGTCAAGCCGAAAATTTTTAATCTTACGTGGAAAGTATAAACATGACAAATTTTTGGAATCAGCACGACGAAATCTACATGCCAGAACTTTTTGGTTTTTTTTTGGGCAAATTTTTCAATCCCTCCACCATAAAATTTCAGACAATTTTCGAAATTTGACTAGACATTTTTTTTATGAATTTCGACCTCCAGAAGTTCTTTGTTTCTCGCATCAGCACGATGATATCTAGATGCTAGAATTGTTTTAGTTATTTTTTCGGCAAATAAAATTTTCCATTTAATTTTGACTTTATTAAAAGTGTCGGCAAATTTTCGACAATTTTCGAAATTTAATTTTGTAATGACATTTTCTTATGGATTTCGGCCCCATTTCTTCGATAGCTATTCCATTTTTCCAGAATCGCTCACTAAAATAGTGCAATTTTTTTGGATGTAAAAAATTTGATTTTCAAACAAAAAATTTTTAATCTTACCCGGAGCAGCACGACAAAATCTATATGCCAAATTTGTCAATCTCCCCTCATAATTTTGGATAATTTTCGAAATTTTGACATTTTTAAATCAATTTTGACGTCCAGAAATTAGTTCTGCCTTTATTTCTTCGATAGCCACTTCCATTTTTCCATAATTGCTCACCAAAATATTGGAATTTTTTGGATTTTAAAGAAATTGATTTTCAAACCGAAAATTTTTATTCTTACCCGGGGACCATAAACACGCCATGTTTTTGGAATCGGCATCGCCACGACGAAATCTAAATCCCAGAATTTTAAATTTTTTTTTCGCAATTTTTTTGAACTAAAATGTTCAATTTTTAAATGTTTAGAAAAATGCTGGCAAATTTTTGACAATTTTCTAAATTTAACTAATGGCATTTCCGTATGGATTTCGAACTCCAGAAGTTAGTTTCAACCTCATTTCTTCGATAGCTCCTTCTATTGTTTCAGAATCGCTCACTAAAATATTGCATTTTTTTTTTATTTAAAAAAATTGATTTCCAAACCAACAATTTATAATCTTATCCGAAGACCATAAACACGCCAAATTTTGGAATCAACACGACGAAATTTATATGCCAGAACTTTTTAGGCTTTTTTGGGCAAATTTTTCAATTCCTCCCCCATAAAATTTCGGACAATTTTCAAAATTTTGCCAAACATTTTTTTATGAATTTCGACCTCCAGAACTTAGTTTTGGCCCCATTTCTTCGAGAGCCATTTCCATTTTTCCAGAATCGCTCACCAAAATATTGCAGTTTTTTCGAATTTAAAAAAAAAATAATTTTCGAACGGAAAATTTTTAATCTTATCCGGAAACAAAACACGCTATGTTTTTGGAGTCGGCACGACGAAATCTACATGTCAAAATTTTTGAAGTTTTTTTTTTGTAACATCTTTTAAAAATAAAATTTTCAATATTTTAAAAATGCCGCCAAATTTTCGACATTTTTCGAAATTTAAATAATATTTTCTTGTGGATTTCCACCTCCATAAGTTGGTTTCGGCTTCATTTCTTCGATATCTACTGCCGTTTTTCTAGAATCGCTCACCAAAATATTCCAATTTTTTCGATTTAAAAAAAGAATTGATTTTCAAACCGAAAAATTTTAACTTTACGCGCAGAGAATAAATTTTCATTTTTTTTAATTGTCGGCAAATTTTTGACGATTCTCGAAATTTAACTAATGCTATTTTCTCATGAATTGCGACCTCCAGAAGTTTGTTTCGACTTCATTTCTTTGAAGTTCCATCCAGAATCGCTCACTAAAATATTGCAATTTTTTTGGATTTAAAAAATATATTTTCAAACCAACAATTTTTAATCTTCGCCGGACAGCATAAACACGCCATATTTTTGGAATCAACACTACGAAATCTATATGCCAGAACTTTTTGGGGCTTGATCAAATTTTTCAATCCTCCCTCATAAAATTTCGGAAAATTTTCGAAATTTAGCCAAACATTTTTTTTATGGATTTCGACCTCCAGAACTTGGTTTTGGCCTCATTTCTTCGCGAGCCATGTCCATTTTTCCAGAATCGCTCACCAAAATATTGCAGTTTTTTCGAATTAAAAAAAAAATGATTTTCAAACCGAAAATTTTTAATCTTACCCGGAGACCTTAACCACGTTATGTTTTTGGAATCAGCACGACGAAATCTACAGGCCAGAATTTTTTGAGTTTTTTTTTTTGACAAATTTTTTAAAAATAAATGTTTCCATATTTTTTTAAAATGCCGCCAAATTTTCGACATTTTCCGAAATTTAACTAATGACATTTTCTTGTGGATTTCCACCTCCATAAGTCACTTTCGGCTTGATTTCTTCGATATCTACTTCCGTTTTTCTAGAATCGCTCACCAAAATATTCCAATTTTTTCGATAAAAAAAGAATTGATTTTCAAACCGAAAATTTTGAACTTTACGCGCAGAGTATAAACATGGTATGTTTCTGGAATCAGCACGACGAAATCTAGATGCTCAGAATTTGTTTTTAATTGTCGACAAATTTTCGACGATTCTCGAAATTTAACTAATGATATTATCTCATGAATTGCGACTCCAGAAGTTTGTTTCGACCTCATTTCTTCGAAGCTCCTTCCGGAATCGCTCATTTAAATATTGCAATTTTTTTGGATTTAAAAAAAAATTATTTTCAAACCAACAATTTTTAATCTTCGCCGGACAGCATAAACACGCCAAATTTTTGGAATCAACACTACGAAATCTATATGCCAGAACTTTTTGGGGCTTTTATTTGGTCAAATTTTTCAATTCTGCCCCCATAAAATTTTTGATAATTTTCGAAATTTATCCAAACATTTATTTATGGATTTCGACCTCCAGAACTTACTTTTGGCCTCATTTCTTCGAGAGCCATTTCCATTTTTCCTACATCATTTCTGTGTTTTTGAAATTGCCACGACGAAATCTAGATGCCAGAATTTTTTGTTTTTTTTTTTGGCAAATTTTTCAAGAATAAAATTTTTATTCCACCCTTTACAAAATTGGCGGAAAATTTTCAACGATTTTCGAAATTTAATTAATTACATTTTTTTACGGATTTCAACATCTAGAATTTAGTTTGAACCTTACTTCTTCGATATCTCCTTCTATTTTCTTCAGAATCGCTAACAAAAATATTGCAATTTTTGGGATTTAAAAAAAGTGATTTTCAAACCGATTTTTTTTTATCTTACCATAGGAGTCTATATACCAATTTTTTTTTATTTTAGCAAATTTTTCAATAACCCTCGTATAAAGAAAGAAATTTTCTTATGGGTTTTGAACTCCGCAAATTAGTTTAGGACTCATTTCTTCGATAGCTCCTTCCCTTTTTCCAGAATCGCTCTCTAAAATATTGCAATTTTTTTGGATTTAAAAAAAAAAAGATTTCCAAACCAACAATTTTTAATCTTAGCCAGAGGAGCATATACACGCCAAATTTTTGGAATCAATACAACGAAATCTATATGCCAGAAATTTTTGGGCTTTTTTTGGACAACTTTTTCAATCCCTCTCCCATAAAATTTCGGACAATTTTCAAAATTTAGCCACACATTTTTTTATAAATTTCGGCGTCCAGAAGTTAGTTTGTGCCTCATTTCTTCGAGAACCATTTTCATTTTTCCAGAATCGCTTACCAAAATATGCAATTTTGTCGAATTTAAAAAAAAATTTATTTTAAACCGAAAAGGTTCCATCTTACCCGGAGGCCATAACACGCTATGTTTTTGGAATTGCTACGACAAAATCTATATGGCAGAATTTTTTTTTTCAGATTTTTCAGCAATAAAATTTTCAATGCCTGCATAAGTCAGTTTCGGCTTCATTTCTTCGATATCTACTTCCGTTTTTCTAGAATCGCTCACAAAAATATTCAAATTTTTTCCATTTAAAAAAAAATTGAATTTCAAACCGAAAATGTTTAACTTTACGCGCAGAGTATAAACACGCTATGTTTCTGAATCAGCACGACGAAATCTAGATGCCAGAATTTTTTGTGTTTTTTTTTTTTGGCAAATTTTTCAAAAATAAAATTTTCAATACAATAATAGTTTCGACCTCATTTCTTCGATAGCTCCTTCTGTTTTTCCAGAATTGCTTAATAAAATATTACAATTTTTTTTAATTTAAAAAAAAAATGTTTCCAAGCCAACAATTTTTATTCTTGGCCGAAGAGCATAAACACGCCAAATTTTGGGAATCAACACGACGAAATCTGTATGCCAGAACTTTTAGGGCTTTTTTTGGACAATTTTTTCAATTTTCAATCCCTCCCAAATTTCGGACAATTTTTGAAATCTAGCCAGACATTTTTTTTATGATTTTCGACTTCCAGAAGTTAGTTCCGGCCTCATTTTTTCGAGAACCACTTCAATTTTTCCAGAATCGACCACCAAAATATTGCACCTTTTTCGAATTTAAAAAAAAAATTTCAAACGCAAAATTTTTAATCTTACCCGGAGACCATAACACGCTATGTTTTTGAAATTGCCACGACGAAATCTATATGGCAGAATTTTTTGAGTTTTTTTTTTTGCAGACTTTTCAAAAATGAAATTTTCAATACTTAAAAAATGCCGTCAAATTTTCGACAATTTCCGAAATTTAACTAATGACATTTTCTTGTGGATTTATGGAGGATAAGTCAGTTTCGGATTCATTTCTTCGATAACTACCTCCGATTTTCCAGAATCGCCCACTAAAACATTGTAGTTTTTAGAATTTGAAAAAAATATTTTTTCAAACCGAATTTTCTTAAGACGCAGGGCCAAAACAAGGCAGGTTTTTGGAACCAGCAGGACGAAATCTGTATATCAGAATTTTTTGAGTTTTTTTTTTGCAAATTTTTTCAAAAATAAAATTCAGACAATTTTCGAAATTTAACTAGACATTGTCTTCTGGATTTCGACCTTCAGAAATTTTCCATTTTTCTAGAATCGCTCACTAAATTATTGCTCTTTTTTGGATTTTAAAAAACTTGATTGTCAAACCGAAAATTTTTAACCTTACGCGCAGACTATAACACGCTATGTTTCTGGAATCAGCACAACGAAATCTACTCAGATTTTTTTTTTTGGCAAATTTTAAAAAAAAAACCCTTCATAAAAATGTCGGCAAATTTTCGCCAATTTTCGAAATTTAACTGATTTTCTTACGGATTTCGACCTCCAGAAGTTAGTTTCGACCTCATTTCTTCGATAGCTAATTCTATTTTTTCAGAGTCGCTCACAAAAATATTGCAATTTTTGAGATTTAAAAAAGTGATTTTCAAACCGATTTTTTTTTTATCTTACTCGAAGAGCATAAACAAGGAGTCTATATGCCATGTTTTTGTTTTGGCAAATTTTTCAATAACCCCCCTATAAAAAAAGAAATTAGTTTAGGACTCATTTCTTCGATAGCTCCTTCCCTTTTTTCCAGAATCGCTTAGTAAAACATTGCAATTTTTTGGATTTTAATTTTTTTTTTTTTTTAATCAGAAGGAAGAATATTTTAAACTGAATCCCCAAAATTAATTCAATTTTGTTCCTAATTTACGTTTTTCTTGTAGATTTTTTTTTTTTTTTTTGTAAATATACGTATAATTGTTTCGGAGTTCTCGTTTGTTACCTTCTAAAATGAGAATCATTCCAAATCGAGACACTAAAGACATTGCTTCCACTTCTGTAAGGTTTTTCCATTTTGTTATAGGAACAAATTTTGAAATTTTACTCTCCAAATGCAAATTTTAGTGTATTTTAAGAATATCATATAGATGGTAAAACACAAAATTTGATCAACCCCACCAAAAATTTAATGACGTCAATCCAGATTTTGCTAAGTAAATATGATTTATGGTGTCCAAAATAATATAAAATACTTCAATACCAATTTAATTTAGAGACTGCAGAACTGATTGCTCTGATTTCGCACAAGCTTTACGATTATTTTAGATTTGCTAAATCACTAATAATAAGAATTTATCTATTCATCTCTTTCACAAACTTGACGTCATGTCAAAATTTTGTTAAATCTCAAATTAATTTTCTTCTTATGCTGCTATATTTAGAAATAACTACACAGGATGCGGCAGGACAATTAATAGTCTGTATTTATTCAAAGTGATATATTTATCCCTACTACAAACTTGATTACGTCATAACAAAATTATCGCCTGAAGTTTACGCAAAGCATGTTTTACCTGTGCTTTAATAATAATCGACGGCTATTTTTATTCTAATTTATAATTATAATAAAAAAAAAAATAAAAAATATAGGATAACATTTTATAATTTATCTAAAAGTTTCGACTCGTATAATTGATTACACTTCAAGGACGAGGAAAATTCGTTCTAAACAACTAAATTTTCCAATAAAATAAAATGCCGAGCATAAATTAGGGAAGTATTGGAATACTCTCCTCTGTCCTTTCATGTTTTTTCTACATTCATGATTCCAAGAATACGAAAAAGTAGGTGCTCCATTTCCGTTCATCTGTCCAATTTCAAGTAAATGGTTCCGCATCAGGTCATCTCGAACAAAAACACCCTGAAATTTTTGCAATAAATTGTTGTTTTATTTAAAAATATCAGTATTGGAACCCGGGGCTAGTGGAAACCAGTACAAAGCAACTAAAACTATTTTAGATCTTCAGGAGTACTTTTTAAACGTTAGAGGTTACAAAGTTTTGTGTACATCAAGATTCTCACAAGATGCGTCAGAAAATATTTTTAGTCAAATAAGATTGAGACAAGAAATGTCAAATGCACTTCAGTTGGGTCACTTCTTAAAAACTTAAGAGGAGAAGAAGAAATTTAAAACATGTTTAAAATGGTAAATTTTTGTAGAAAAAAATGGATTTTGCAATTAAACTCCGCCCCCTATCTGACAACGAATAAAAAATTCATCACAAATGAGATAGGGGCGGGTGGGCGGGGCTTAATTATTGGCTTAATTTCATACGATGTACCTATTTTCAACAACATCAAATATCATTTTATGTTTTAAGTATTTTATTGTTGAAAGAAGACTATGTATATGTACTAAGAAAATCAAAGGAGAAACCCCACCCACCCCATCTCAATTGTGATTAATCTTTTTATTCGTCCTGAAGTCGGGAGCGGAAAGAAGACCATTATCCTTTTTTTGTTTTTAAGAAAGTTTGAGGAGTCCAAATTGGAAAATCGGTTCCACTTTCACAATTTGTGAAGTATTTATTCTATAAAGTCCTTCTTATGTATTTTTTATTATAAAACTCCATTTAAAATCAGTCCAGAAGACACAATTAATGAGAAAATTATCAAGATTCAAAATTCGGCATTACTGATAAACGATTTACAATTATTAACGCAAATCGAGGAAAGCCTTACCAAAATTATTTATTGCAGCAGAAAGAAGACGAAATTTATTGTTTAAAAGAAATAATTAACAGTTTAAATTTAGAGAATTTAAAAATTAATAATAAACTGCCCAAAATTTTGGTTGGTTTAGACTATTAACATTTATATTTTCCTTATTACACATTCAATTTTTTGTATTTCACTATTACTATCACTATAAATGAAAAAAAGCCCTTGAAATATAAGGTTTAGATCGAATAATTTATAGAAGAAAAATAATCCAATTTCCTATTTTCTCACCAACGGTTTAATAGATTTGCCGCAGATTCTAAGAAGACAATAATATTGTCAATAATTAACAGTATTAAGAGTAGTGACCAGAATGAAGAGGGGGTGGGTGGGTGGACCTACTGCTTGCCTGTAAAAGACTTTCTCGAAAAAAGTTAAACTTAGCCCCACCCACCCACCCGTTCTCTCATTTTTATTTCTTCTGAAATAAGAAATAAATCTTATACTAAATAGTAGAACAAAAAAGTTACAATTCGCGCTTTTTTTACAACCTAGTTTATATCGGTTACTTACCACTTCCACTCTGCAGAAGAACATATAATAAACCCCGCCCACCGATCCGCCTCCATTTCGGTGATTAATTTTATATCAAAAAAAGTACTAATCCAATTGACAAGACGATGAAGAGGACACTTAAAACATGTTTAAAATAGTAAATTTTTGTAGTAAAATATGGATTTTGTATTTAAACTCCGCCCCTCTGTCTGACAACGAATAAAAAATTCACCACAACTGAGATAGGGGCGGGTGGATGGGGCTTAATTATTGCCTTCTTTTTCTTAATGTATACCTATTTTCAACAACACGACATTTAAAACATAATTCTAACCTCAAATTTACCACTTGATATTTTAAGTAGGAGTATTTTATTGTTGAAAAAGGACTATATTATATGTTCCAAGAAAATCAAAGGATGTCTGTTTTATTTGAATTTTGGGCATATTGTGTAGATGGTAAAACGTTAAGCCAAATTTGTCTGATCATCTCCACTTACAAGTTGATGATGTCACGTAAAAATTTTGTGTGGTAAATGGTATTTATATTTTATAAATTAACATACTCCTAACAGCTAATTGGTTATTCCGGTAATACCTTATAGCGCTCATTAATTGTTCCTCGTTGTTTTATATTTTACAGGATGGCTCTTTCACCACATTTGAAAAAGCCAAACTTATGAAAGTTCATCTAGTCTCGGTGCTTTGGTTAGATGCCATTCGAAGAAATAATGCCAGAGTTCCAGAAAAAAATTACCCAGCGTTTGGTAGCCGAGTATGCGACGAAAATGTTTCCATCCTATGCTCGGTAAATATATTAATTTAATTCTTTTTCCGACCTTACTCTCCACTCAAAACTCTTCCCACCTCCAGTAATCATGATAATAAAACATATTAGAAATCCGTGTTTTAGCAAATCCAAAAAGACTACGAAGACGTAATAAAGGACGAAAGACGACGGCGACATACAATGATGACACCAAAAACCTCCATAGCCAGCTACCTCACCGCCAACAACCTCGCAATCTCGGACGACGAAACCCCACCGAGACGACAATCTCCCGATTTAACATCGGATGACTCCGATTGTGGCATCGTGGACGGTCATGCCACAAAACGACCCAGAGACTCAGATATACTGCAGTCCAGTCAAATCCCAGATAGTCAAAATGTTCTGGAATCTAGCGACTCCCCGTCATTGCTCAGCCACGTGAGCAGGAACAAGAGGAAAACAATCTCGATTATTTCGGACATGGTGCTAACACCGAATGTAGTAACGACTCATCAGACGAGGCAAACTGAGAACATAGCTGTGGCCACTTCAAAAGCAAGAACTATGACGAAAGTTCTCCAGAATTCGATTTTACAGTCAAGCACGATGTCGTCGTTGCGGGTGTCCACGGATAGTGATAAAACTAAAAGTGATCTTGCAAATTCTAAGGGTAGTAGTAAAACGAGGAGTTCGTTGCTTGGTGGCAAAGAAAATAGTTTGAAGACTGTTGATTCGACTATGTCGTCTTTGAGATTGAGCGATTCTTCTAAAACGAAGTCCACAGGAAAGAGAAGTAGTAGAGGTAGCGGTGGTACAAAGATGAGTTCGTCGTCGGGTAGAGAACTACAAGGAACGCCGCCAGATCATAGTTCCAACAATAGTACAAAGGTAGGGGCAAGTTCTTTTTTTAATAAGAGAAAACACCGACGTTATGACGTTAGTTAATTTTTATGTCAACATTTTTCTTCTATCTAAGTATAGTAATCGAATCCATGGGGTCACTTCCTGCTTTCATTTTTCTTGACGTTTCAAAAGTGGTCTCCCGTTTCCGTCCGTGTGTATGTCTGTCGTCTGTGTCTTCCTTTTTCTTCTTTTTCGTCCTTTTTCGTCCTTCGTTCTTTTTCGTCCTTTTCCGTCTTTTTTCGTCGTTCGTCCTTTTTCGTCCTTCGTCATTTTTCGTCCCTTTTCGTTGTCTTTCGTCCTTTTTCGCCCTTTCGTCCTTTTTCGTCCTTCGTCCTTTTTAGTCCTTCGTCCTTTTTCGTCCTTCGTCCGTTTTCGTTCTTCGTCATTTTTCGTCCTGCGTCCTTGTCCGTCCTTTCTCGTCCTTTTTCGTCCTTCGTTCTTCGTTCTTTTTCGTCCTGCGTCCTTTTTCGTCCTTGTTGATTTTTACTTTTCATTTTCCCGATTTTTTAATTTTCATTTTCTCGATTTTATTTCACAATTTTTCGTTATCTCAATTTTTCAAGTTCTTGATTTTTACTTTTCATGTTCCCGACTTTCTAATTTTCTTTTTCTCGATTTTATATTACAATTTTTTTGTTTTTTCATTTCCTTTATTTTTTCAATTTTTCTTTCGATTTCATAAATTTTTAGTCTTTGATTTTTCAATTCCTGGATCATCTAATTTTTTAATTTTTCGATTTTGCTATTTCCAATTATCCGATTTTAAAATTTATTTAATTTTCAGTATTTCGATTTTACAAGATATACCTTATTTCATGTTTTCGATTTTGCACTTTTTCAATTTTTGGTTGCCTCAATTTTGCAAGTTCTTAATTTTTACTTTTTATTTTCCCGATTTTTTAATTTTCATTTTTTCGATTTTATAAATTTTCAATCTTTGATTTTTCAGTTCCTCGATTATCCATTTTCTAAATTTTTCTATTTTGCTCTTTTTGGATTTCCAATGATCCGATTTTACAATTTTTCAATTTTTGATTTCCTCAGTTTTGCAAGTTCTTGATTTTTACTTTTTATTTTCCCGATTTTTTTAATCTTCATTTTTTCGATTTTATATCACAATTTTTCGTTTTTTCATTTTCTTCAATTTTTCCATTTTTCAGTGTCGGGTTTCATAATTTTTTGTTCTTCCAACTTTTTCAGTTTTTAAATTTTTTGATTTCCAAATCTTTCAATTTTTCATCTCTTCAATTTTTCGATTTGCAATTTTTCTATATTTTAATGTTTCATTTTTCGATTTTTCAGTTTCTCAGTTTTTAATTTTTCGATTTTTCAATTTTTCGTTTTCTCAATTTTTCAAGTTCTTAATTTTTACTTTTCATTTACCTAGTTTTTTAATTTTCATTTTCTCGATTTTATATCACAATTTTTCGTTTTTTCATTTCTTTTATTTTTTGATTCTATAAATTTTCAATCTTTGATTTTTCAGTTCCTTGATTATCCAATTTTAAAATTTTTCAATTTTGCTATTTTTGGATTTCCAGTGATTCGATTTTCCGATTTTGCACTTTTTCAATTTTTGGTTTCTTCAATTTTTACCTTTCATCTTCCCGATTTTTTAATTTTCATTTTCTCGATTTTGTCTCACATTTTTACTTCCCGAGCGTAAGCAAAGGAAGTATTGTAATTGAGTCCGTCGGTCGACTCTCTACTTTTACGTTTTCTCGATCTTTCATGACCCCTAGAAGACGAAGAAATAGGTCTCCCATTTCCGTCTGTCTGTCCGTCTGTCCGTCTGTCCGTCTGTCCGTCTGTCCGTCCGTCTGTCCGTCTGTCCGTCCGTCTGTCCGTCTGTCCGTCTGTTGTCCCGGATTTTTATTAGACAGATAATCTCCGAAAGTACTCGACCGATTGTTGTGAAATTTTGTACTTATATTAAGAATATCATGTAGATGGTAAAACGCTAACCAAAATTTGTCTAATCATCCCCACCACTAATGCGATGACGTCACTTCAAAATTGTACATAGTAAATGGGTTTTCAATTGTATAAAATAACATAGTCCTACACATGTAGTTTACAACTCTGAATCGACTTTTCACCCGAAACGTCCAGATTTTTGGAAAAAAAATCAAAATTATAAAACAATATTTTGAAATTTAATTTTTAATCTGCTAACCAGAATGCTTTGAAATGTTGCAGATGTTTTAAGGCTATAAAGAGCATCATAAATCTTTAGTCAAAAAATATTTACTTATCCCCTCCAAAAACTTGATGACGTCAGCTTAAAAGTTCGTGGAATAAATCATATCTAAAATGTACAAAATATGATGAGTCTGTACTTGTGATCTATCACTCCATTCATATTTTTTGGATTTGCATATACAGGGTGACTCAAAAAAATTAATGAATGCGTAAATATATTTTATTGATTTAATCAGGAACTACAAAACCGAATGCTCTGAAATCTTGCAGATGTTTTAAGGCTATAAAGAGCATCATAAATCTTTACTCAAAAAATATTTGCTTATCCCCTCCAAAAACTTGATGACGTCAGCTCAAAAGTTTGTGGAATAAATCATATCTAAAATGTACAAAATATGATGAGTCCGTACTTGTGATCTATCACTCCATTCATATTTTTTGGATTTCTATATACAGGGTGACTCCAAAAAATTAATGAATGCGTGAATATATTTTATTGAGTTAATCAAGAACTACAAAACCGAATGCTTTGAAATCTTGCAGATATTTTAAGGTTATAAAGAGCATCATAAATCTTTAGTCAGAATATAGTTGGTTATCCCCTCCAAAAACTTGTTGACGTCAGCTCAAAAGTTTGCCGAATAAATCCTATCTAGAATATACAAAATATGATGAGTCTGTACTTGTAATTTATCATTCCATTCATATTTTTTGAATTTGCATATACCGGGTAACTCAAAAAAAAATATATGAAATCTACTGCGAAAAAAAACACAATAGGCATGCAGTCGTCACGTTTCCAACAGCGAGGGAAGTACTGGCTAAACTCTTTAGACCAATTTTTTTATTTTCTTTTATTTTTCAATTTTCCCATTTTTCACTATTCAGGGTTTCATAACTTTTCATCTTTCCAACTTTTTCAAATTTTCAATTTCTTTACTTCCAAAATTTTAAATTTTTCGTTTTCTCATTTTTTCAAGTTCTTGATCTTTACTTTTCATTTTCCGGCTTTTTGAATTTTAATTTTTACTTCCCGAGCGTAAGCAAAGGAAGTATTGTAATCGAGTCCGTCGGTCGACTCTCTACTTTTACGTTTTCTCGATTTTTCATGACCCCTAGAAGACGAAGAAATAGGTCTCCCATTTCCGTCTGTCTGTCCGTCTGTCCGTCCGTCTGTCTGTCCGTCTGCCGTCCCGGATTTTTATTAGACAGATAATCTCCGAAAGTACTCGACCGATTGTTGTGAAATTTTGTACTTATATTAAGAATATCATGTAGATGGTTAAACGCTAACCAAAATTTGTCTAATCATCCCCACCACTAATGCGATGACGTCACTTCAAAATTGTACATAGTAAATGGGTTTTCAATTGTATAAAATAACATAGTCCTACACATGTAGTTTACAACTCTGAATCGACTTTTCACCCGAAACGTCCAGATTTTTGGAAAAAAAATCAAAATTATAAAACAACATTTTGAAATTTAATTTTTAATCTGCTAACCAGAATGCTTTGAAATGTTGCAGATGTTTTAAGGTTATAAAGAGCATCATAAATCTTTAGCCAAAAAATATTTGCTTATCCCCTCCAAAAACTTGATGACGTCAGCTCAAAAGTTTGTGGAATAAATCATATCTAAAATGTACAAAATATGATGAGTCTGTACTTGTGATCTATCACTCCATTCATATTTTTTGGATTTGCATATACAGGGTGACTCAAAAAAATTAATGAATGCGTAAATATATTTTATTGATTTAATCAGGAACTACAAAACCGAATGCTCTGAAATCTTGCAGATGTTTTAAGGTCATAAAGAGCATAATAAATGTTTAGTCAAAATATATTTGCTTATCCCCTCCAAAAACTTGATGACGTCAGCTCGAAAGTTTGCCGAATAAATCATATCTAAAATGTACAAAATATGATGAGCCTGTACTTGTCATTCATCACTCCATTCATATTTTTTGTATTTGCATATACAGAGTGACTCAAAAAAATTAATGAATGCGTAAATATATTTTATTGATTTAATCAGGAACTACAAAACGGAATGCTCTGACATCTTGCACATGTTTTAAGGTTATAAAGAGCATAATAAATGTTTAGTCAAAATATATTTGCTTATCCCCTCCAAAACCTTGATGACGTCAGCTCAAAAATTTGCCGAATAAATCATATCTAAAATGTACAAAATATGATCAGTCTGTACTTGTGATCTATCACTCCATTCATATTTTTTGGATTTGCATATACAGGGTGATTCAAGAAAATAAATGAAAGCGTAAATTTATTTTGCTATTTACTCAGGAACTACAAAACCGAATGCTTCGAAATCTTGAAGATATTTTAAAATTATCATAAGCATGGTAAATTTTTGATCAAAACGTATTTGGTCGTCCCCCCTAAAAAATTTATGACGTCACCACAAAATTTTGCTGAATAAATCCTATCTAAAATGTACAAAATATGGTGAGTCTCTTCTTGTGATTTATCATTCTATTCAAATTTTTTCGATTTGCATATACAGGGTGACTCAAAAAAATTAATGAATGCGTAAATTTATTTTATTGATTTAATCAGGAACTACAAAACCGAATGCTTTGAAATCTTGCAGATGTTTTAAGGTTATAAAGAGCATAATAAATTTTTAGTCAAAATATATTTGGTTATCTTCTACAAAAAACTGATGACGTCAGCTCAAAAGTTTGCCGAATAAATCGTATCTAAAATGTACAAAATATGATGAGTCTGTACTTGTGATTTATCATTCCATTCATATTTTTGGATTTGCATATGCAGGGTGACTCAAAAAAATTAATGAAGGCGTGAATTTATTTTATCGATTTAATCAGGAATTACAAAACAGAATGCTTTGAAATCTTGGGAATATTTTAAAGTTATTATAAGCATGGTAAACTTTTGTTCAAAATGTATTTGTTCATGCCTCCTAAAAAAATTGATGACGTCACCCTTAAATTTTGCTGAATAAATCCTATCTAAAATGCAAAAAATATGATGAGTTTGTACTTGTGATTTTATCATTCCATTCATATTTTTTAGATTTTCTTAAGAGGTGGTTCAAAAAAATTAATGAAGTCAATTTATTTTATTGATTAAATTAAAGGCAACACTTATTATTAGTATTACACCCCAACCAACCCAATTTGGTAGACACAAAATTTGTTAAAGGAAAAACTCGGTTGAAACATAAGGGTAGCGTAATGGTAGTGAAATAGACATGTTTATAATCAACCAATTGTGAATTTCACCGTCAAGAATTAAAATAAAACCCAATGTTTTATATAATAAGCGGAAGTCGAAGCAATAAAACCGATGGTCGTTTTGTTTACAGTTTCTCTGTTTGACTCTCACGTATGCTGTTACGCCTGTCATCTTAAATTAAGAATGTTTATACATACACGATTTTCAGTTGCCTCTGATACGTATACGTGAGTAAATTGTTTCGTTATTTTATTGATTATTACAAATCAATATTCAAAACGACCCAATTCATTTTCCCGAAAATTTGAGAATATAATAATTTTATTCTTAGTATTACACTACATCTATCCCAACTGATATACGTGTCCTTGCAAAAATGTTGATGACGTCATCGCAATTTTTTTTTAAATTCCCACTACAAAAATGTAATGAGAAAAAAAACACAATAGGCATGCAGTCGTCAAGTTTCCGACAGCGAGGGAAGTACTGTCTAAACTCTTTAGACCAATTTTTTCGATTTTAAATTACAATTTTTCGATTTTTCATTTCCTTTATTTGTTCAATGTCAATTTTTAAATTTTTAACTGAAAATAAAAAAAAATGGAAAACTCAAAAACTGTAAAATCGAAAAATTGAAAAACCGAACAAATGAAATTGTTTTAAAATCCAATAATAATTGAAAAATGGAAAAAATCTAAAATCGTAAAATTGAAAACTCGTGAATTGCAAATTGAAAAATTGCAATCATTTAAAAGAACAAGAAAAATGAAAAATCGCAAATCGAAAAATTGAAGAAACAAAAGACAAAAGATTATATCGCAAATGGGAAATTTGAAAAACAAAAAAAAATGAAAAATTTAAAAATTCAAGTCAAAAAAGTTGGAGAGTGTTATTTACACCACTGATTTTTATTTTGTACAGTTTATCAGAAAACAAAAGTCGCAACAAATTTTTATAATTTTTTAATTATTTTAGACAACCAGGATTTGTTGGGCAGCATTTTAGATGCGAGGGAAGTTCTGTCGAAATAACCTTCGATCAATTTTTCATTTTAAAATCAAATTTAAAAATTTTGTGGGACATACTTCCATATTTTTCATTCATTACTGTTCATATTAATGTGTATATTTGTCTCATATTTAACTTAATTAAAAGGACGAAGTGAAAACCACTGTCAGAAAAAGCAGCAGAACTGTGGCTACACAATTAACCAAGAATTCAAAAAAACCTGCTTCACCAGATCTGATCACTTCAGACTCAGAGGACGAAAATGCGAACGAAAAAAGTCCGAAGAAAATAAAAAGCCCTGCTAAGTCTAACACGTCCACTCCAAAGAAGATACTCAGGAAAATGTTGGATTCGTCGGATTCGGAATATGAGTACGATGACCAACCAAAAAGAATCGAGACAATTAAACGAAGACTTACTGAATTAGTAGAGGAACCAAATGATCAACCAAAAGAAACGCCAGTTAAAACCAGAAAAACCATATCAGTAGTGGCATCAACGTCAACTCAAAATTTGACCCCGAAAACTAACAAAAGAACCTCAGCGTCAAAAGCGGCAGATTTAAATAACAAAGAACCAAGTGAAAATGTTTCCGTACAAACCGAGAGGTCAAAACGAAGTCGAAGATTAACTTCCGTTACACCGTCTGAACCCGAAAACGCAGAAAGCCCCACTAATACCGATCCAAGAAGAAGCAGAAGAGCGTCGTCAGTTATATCAACTGCATCATCAACAAGTAAAAAACCTAGACGAAGCAGGCGATCACTTGCAAGAACAATGTCGGAGTCGGAAGTGAAGGAAACATCCAACGACGAATCAGAATTCGTTAAACCCAAAACAGTGAAAAAATTGAAAAAGACAACGTCGGTTGTTTCGTCAGGATCTGAAACAAGTTCAGTAGATAAAGTGGTGGTGCCGGAAGACAGAAAAGTCGTGAAGGTCACGGTTCTTCTCTCACCTACAACTAAAAAACAATCTGAAACATCTATAAAAAGTCGACAAAATTGTGAGACGACTCCAAGCCCCACGAAAAAATCTTCCGTCGAGCAAACATCGACGGCCAAAAAAATAAGAAAGTTGTACCATCCGAACGATGTGGCTGTTTTTTCGTCGCAAGAAGACGAAGACGAAAGGGAACGTAAAGAACACCAAAAACAGAAGGCGCAGAAGAGTCCAGATGGGGTTTTTGTCAACCCTAACAAAGTCGACATCACTCCTTTACCGTCTCAGCGTAAACCAGATCGTTCAAATTTTGACTTAGACGAAGGTAGCGGTGACGATAATGAAATCAGAGTAACGAGACAAAAAACAAAAAGAGACAACAAGAAGGCGTTGCCAGTGCCTCCAGTTAGAGATAGCTCTGCGGACGAACAACGAGAGTTGTTGGAAATGCTAGATCAGAGTAATCATTTCCGGAAAAGGCGTTCCGAACGATTGTCTCTTTCACAGAGGAAACCAACTTATACTTATAGCTCTAAATCTGAGAGTTTGTCATCGACTGATTTGCCCATCACGCCTATCAATAGGCGCAGCACCTTGGACTTTGTACAATTGACGCAGACTCAGCAGAAGCGTAAACTAAAGTTGGATCCCAAAAGGCCTACGAGTATAGTGTGCACGAAAATGCATAGGCACGAAGTCGTTCATTTTGAGAACACCGTCGCCAGTTTGGGACGATTCTTCGTTGAAGACAAAGTCACAGGGAAGACGTCACATTTGGTTGCTGGTGAACCGAAAAGAACCATCAACATGCTGAAGGGTATAGCTAGAGGGTGCTGGATACTGAAACACGAATGGGTAAGTGTCTCTGAATTTTTAAAACTACGTTTTGCTACAATGGTGAGTTATTATTTCAGCTACAAAAGTCTCAAGAGGCGGGAAAGTGGCTCAACGAAGAAGATTACGAATTGACCGACTTCTCTCCGGCTGTGCAGGTTCACTAAATTTACTCTAATGTGTTTTTATTCATGATGGTTTTTTAGCAATGTCGTCTACAAAGACAAGCTTTCGGCCCTCTTTATTCAATGGACATTTTCCAGAATTGCGGACTCATCTACGTGGGTAAATCTACCACGCCCAAACCCTCGGAATTAAAAGAGTTGATCTCTATTTGCAAGGGGAAGTTGACAACGTCGTACAGAAACGCTGCCATAAGTGTAGGGGAAGTAATTCACAGAGATGATGTGAACTGCGTCACGGAAATGTGGGTTCTAGAGTCGATTCACTATAATAAGTTAAAATTGTTCAAGCACTATTTGTTGCAGCCTCAAAGTCACGAGAGAAGTCCTAATTTTTAAAAGTTGTGGCTGTGTATGTACATATATTATAAGCCATCAATTTAGCTAGAATGTTTATATATTTTTTTATTCATATTGCGTCATTTTTACAACAATGGAAAATTATTAATAAAGAAAAGAGTTGTTTTTTTAACCCGGGACCCTTAGGTTAATGTCAGCGACACTGCTTGTGATTGGAAACAAATCAAAATCTGAATTAAAGTTACTGGATGCAAATACACAAGTTATTACAAACGTGTGGCAGCAAATTTAAAATTACGACAGTCAACAAGAGCACAAAATTTTAATAACAATTATGCAACGGCAGCGACACCAGAGCGCTATAAGAGTGTGGCGATCGAACTATGTCAATTTCCTTCTAGAGCACGGCAAAAATTACCCATAGGGAGCGTTGTAGCACGAGCGGAGTTTGGGGCTCCCGGTCGTGGCTGTTCCCCTACCCACGACGGTGATTCTATCTATCGCAAGCACTGCCGCATAGCAATTCTCTATTACGAGCAGGCCGTTACGGTCGCAAACTCGCAGTTGGGTCTCGAGTACTGGCCCAAATCGACAGGGTTACGTCATCTCGATCGCCTCTGAATTCTATTCTAATCTGCATCTTTTGTGCATATGGCGAGATAAATCCCACCAGCTTGACTAGGAACCGCGCACTCCGCTTCCGCCACGGTTTATCGCATTATTTAACCTCAATTCCATGTATATGTTCAATTCTTACAACTCTGATATTAGACTACAACTGAACAAGTGTCAAAATTTCAAAAAGAACAATAAACAACATTTAAATTCGCCATACAATCTTGTGAAATTTTAAACAACAAATAATTCTTATTTGACATTAAAATTGGGTATCAGATAATTTGTATAATGGAAATATTCATCAACACAACATTTACTTAAAAAAACTAGCAAAGATGTATGAAAACAAAAGATCTCGTGTGCAGAACATGAAAATTTACGTTCAATTTAAATTATACAGCAAAGAAAATTACTGAAGTTAAAATTGTGAGATAGAGAAATATTGTCCGAGGTGAAAAATTGCAAAGCTAACAAATTTACATGAGATTAATATTTGCCACACTTTATCAACGATTCAAACAAAGAATTCATATTATGTTACATTATGCTATGCTCCCAGTGATTGGTTACTTAAAATAATTAACTTTGAGAGTTTATCGTCAACTGGTTTCCTCAACAAAACATATAATAAATAAACAAAAGTATCCAGTCAGCGTTGCAAGGAAAAATCGTCTCGATGATGTAAATTTTAACGTTGCGAGACAATGGTCTCGGTGATGTAATTTTTAACGTTGCGAGGAAATGCCTCGATGATGTAATCAATCTTTAACGTTGCGAGGAAATATGTCGATGTAATGATGATAACGACTCTAATAACGATGATAACTGCCAAAGGGAAGAAATATTTTAAATCCCCGCCATTTCACGAAATTATGAATTTTCTGCCGTTAATGAACTATTCGCGATCTTGTGCGATAAATTAAGAAGTGTTATAATGTAACACTTACGTATATGCATCCAGAAACCTCATTCGTAATTAAACAAACAAAGGGTGTTATTCTAAGTGAATTTCATGAAATCTCCTAGTAAGTGTCTGTTAAATTGTGTTAGAATCAGTTAACGATTAAAATCCTAACCTGATCGGTGAATTTACAAACAACACAAGTAGCGTAGTTAAGCTTTCTCCCTTTTATTAACTACCAAACCAACTAATTTAACCTAGCTAACTTACAGCGTCTTTTTCATCATTCCGTTATCTTGTTTACCACTACCGCCCTTTAACTAACAAGCAGAACTACCAACTACCCCCAATCGCTAACGTGCACATGGTTGCCTTATGTTTAACGATTTTTTTTCAAATTCAAATTATTCAAATGTGATTTCGCGCCGCTGTTAATTAATTTCAGCGCGAAAATTTTATTCAAATTCGGTCACCACAAGATACACGCTATATTTCTAAAATCGGCACGTCGAAATCTATATCCCAGAATTTTTTTGTTTCAAAAGCAAAATTTTTGAAAATTTCATCTAAATTTTCGACCACCTTGAAAACTTAACCAAAGGCATTTTCTTGTAAATTTCGACCTCTAGAAGTTACTTTCGGCCTCATTTCTACAATATGTCGTACTATCCAATTTTTGGGATTTAAAAAAAAGATTTTTCAGATCAAATATAAAATATTGCTCCGGAACCCTAAACACGCTTATTTTTGGAATTAGGACATCAAAATTTTAATCTCAGAATTTTTTGGCAACTTTCCAGAGCAAAATTTTTCAATACCCCCTCTTCCCCAGGAAAATTTCGGCTAATTTTTCACCACGTTTGAAACTCACATGACCTTCCAGATTTCGACGTCCAAAAGTTGCTTTCGGGCGCATTTTTCTGCAACTTCGCCCATTGATTTTATTTATTAAAAAAAAAGAAACAAACCAAATATTTCTTTAGATTTACGCTATATGTCTAAAATCAGCACGTCGAAATTTATATCCCAGAATTCTTTTGGATTTTTTGAAAATTTTTTCAAAAGCAAAATTTTGGATCCTTGAATATTTCGTTCAATTTTCGACCATCCTGGAAACATAACCAAGACATTTTCTTGTAGATTCCGACCTCCTAAAGTCACATTCGGCTTTATTCGACATCTCACGCAATGGCAATTTTTTGGATTCAAATAATAGTATATTATTAACTAAGGTTGTGAAGACAGACATTCTAGACCGAGCGCAAATTAGAACCTGAGACGCGCAGCGTCGAGGGCTCTAAAGCGCGAGGTCTAGAATTGGCTTCACAAACGTGGTTAATATACTATTTTTTCCACTAGTAGCCCATTTGAGGTTTGCGAATTTTCAAAATGTTTTTTCTGAAGTGCATCAATAAAAATGTGTACTCACGTCATTTTAGTAAGCTTTGGAATTTTATTATTTTTTGACAATCCAGAAATGGTCCAGAACTTTTGTTTTAATTTCCTCCATATTTCCCGTTTTTAATAAATTTTTGTGTGAAAAATGTTGTAAAGTGAACCATCATGTACCCCTCCTCATTCCGTCGTACTTACGCGACCGCGACAAATTTTGCTGAAAAAGGTATGGACCTTTTATCGTTAAAGCGACACGGGGAATGGAAATCCTCCAGCATAGCAGAAGGATACAACGACGGCTCGATCTTCAATAAAAAAAAAATCGCCGAAATCGTCCAAAGCTCATCTACGGCAAATCAAGTCAAACCAAATCGGAACCATGATTCAGTTTCAGTCCCGTAAACTTCATTTTCACTCCCATCAACTTCATCAACTTTGTTTCACCAATTTATCCTCAATTTATAATCAATTCAGGGTTTGGAAATCATTCCAGGGCATAATTTAAAAGCAAATTTTCCAAAATGATCGTTTTCAGGTTATGTCTCAGTTTTTCTGACAGTTGTGGACAGTTGTCACATTAGGTGGCCAACTTCACGTTTACATTATTGACCAAGGTTCACAATTTTCCAAATTACAGACCTCTAGACAAGTCGACAATTAGCCATTGTAATGCTACTAGTGGAAAAAAAGATTTTTAAATCGAATATTCTAAAATATTGCCCAGGAACCATAAACACGCTTAATTTTGGAATTAGAACGTCGAAATTTATATCCTGGAATTTTTTGGCAACTTTCAAAAACAAAAATTTTCTCCCGTTTGGAAAATTTCCACCACATTCGAAACTTAAGTAGACATTTTCTTATAGATTTCCACCTCCAGAAGTTACTTCTGGCCTCACCTCTTCGTTAACTACCATTTTCTAGAATCGCCTATTGAAAATGGCAATTTTTGGATTAAAAATAAAAATTGAATTCCAAAGCGAATGTTTCTAGAAACATACTTCGAATCAACAAATTATATTCTGGGAAACAGCAGGTCAAAATCTATGTCCCAAAATTTTTTGTGAATTTGTAGGCAATATTTTCAAAAAGAAAATTTTTACTATTTTTCTTACACGTTCGAAGTTTATCTAAAAATATTTCTTGCAGATTTCGACCTAAAGTTTCGGCCTCATGTCTTCAATATTACTGTTAATATTTTTTTTTTATTAAAAAAAAAGTGGTTTTCAAATAGAATAGGTATTCTAAAATCTTGCTCCGGGACCATAAACACGCTTAATTTCGACCACCTTCCAAAGTTACCTAAAAACATTCTCTTGTAGATTCCAACTTTCAGAAGTTGGTTTCAATCTCATTTCTCCTATGACTACATTTTTACAGATTGATTTTCAAACGCAGTATATCTATAGATACACGCTATATTTTTAGAATCAGCACATCGAAATCTATCCCAGAATTTTTTTGATATTTTGACAACTTTTTCAAAAGCAAAATTTTTCAATCCCCTTCCCCTTCAAAAATTTCGTCCAATTTTCCAACACCTTGGGAACTTGAGTCATTTTCTTGTCGATTTCGAACCCCAGAAGGTACTTTCGGCCTCATTTCTTCGATAGTCGTACCCTCCATTTTTTTTTTTTTGAATAAACAATTTTTAAATCGAAAGTTTTATAAACTTTAAAAAGAACTAGTACAACGCAAGAGCGCCTATTATATTAGCATTATTAGAGGCACAAGTCAAATTATATTCATTCATATATATTTATCCATAAAAAACATAAACGAAGTTTGTTTTATTATAATTAATTATTTAAAAATTTATTTAATTTCTTGCACACTTTACCAATCATAAAATACTTCGTTTATTAACCTAGTAAAGTTCATAATAAAATGAAAAACTAACTTGTAATACTTGTATTACCGGCTTACGGTTCGTCCATAGAATATCCTCCCTTTTGTAGGGTTTTGTATGGGTACGTCTTATTGAATACCTACTGGGTTGGCACATGATCGTACCTACCTGTGCGGTAAAATACTAATTTCAAATTTTAAATTTCCTAAATATTGCTACGTTGAATGGGTATTAAAATCGTCGTGGGTTAAACTCAACAATATATTTCTTAGTAACTCTGATTTACACGACTAATTACGGCGCAACATTCACTGGGTTTTCTCGACACTCGTTGGACTCGATTTGTTAACTGAATTCAGCTCTCATTGTCTGGATTACATTAACTGTTCCCGACGGTAGTTCCTATTTAAACAGCCGCGCCGTCCTTCTCGAAGGTCTCCGTCACCGCTTCTAGGCTTATTCTCGAACACCCGTCGCGACATCCGCTTCCAGACTGTTCTCCCGCCGCCGTCACGGACAATGAGTTATCGTCGCCGTATATACTAGAACCCATAGGCGTCGTAAAATAAAGAACTTTCACAAACGTGAACCAACACCTGTCATACAATATATCAGTTTGAAATTTTAAATGTTTGAAAAGTGACGACGGCAGAAAATGTAATTGTTCATTTCGGACTGCATATGCTACATTTTGAAAATCCAGAAGAATTTGTGTTTTCAAATATAAGAGATGAGTGTGAAATAAAATTAGTATGAATCATTATTCATTTCTAATATTTATTTTAGAAAAATGCAACTGAATCATCGCATGTCTGTAATTATGTCTAAACGAAGAAAAGTGGAAAAGTTTTACTTATTACAGTTGTAACAGATCTGTGGCGGTACTAACAGGTCGGTAAGCGAAGAAAGATAAGCAGCTCTATGGTCTAGTGGTAGAGACGCCCGCCCGGCTAGTGGGAGACGTTTGGTTCGATTCCCCACTGGGGCAGCAATATTTTTCTTCGCTTACCTTCAGCTCTATAAAAGGTATGTAGGCACATGTCTCTTATTACACTAGTTTACAAGGTTTTATATCCAAAGACAAAAATAGCTGAATCTTAAGGATTTGGGCTCGGGAAATTTAAATGTGAAAGCAGAAAAAATCTATCACGTCAGGTTTTTGAGATATTTATATAAACATACCCCGTATTTCTTTTCTTTTATACAACTCTTGTAACGTTTTTATTTTTAAATATATATGAACATATAGTTCTTTGAGCAAATTTGTATCATTTTAAAAGATCATTTACGTAAATAAATAACATGAGTGTCAATTTTTCAAGCTACTAGATTGTCATCAATGTTTTATTTAAAATTTTTCAAGTATTGATTTTAGAATAATTGGTTGCTTTTGATTTTTCTACGGGAAGTGATAATAAAAATGTGAGGTTGGCCTCACAAAGATCTTTTAAAATGATACAAATTTGCTCAAAGAAATACAGGTTTATCTTTAAGAATAAAGAAGTTACAGGGGTTGTATCAAATAAAAGCAACACCCAGTATATATTATAAACATTATGACTGAAAATTAAAAATTATAAACAGTAGCTTTTCTTTTATTGACAGTACTGACAGTTTCCCTTGTAATTGACCAACAGTAACACATTTTCGTCCCAAAATCCTTGATACCTTCTTTTTAAGCATATTTGAACAGGTCTTGCTTTAGGTACTATAATTTTACCATAAACGTAACAAAACTGATTTGCACTTACTTTGCACGATCTCGAAGACGTTTTTTATGTGACAATGGTGTATTAACATGAATCACTTTGACACTAACGTGAAGGTAAGAGCAAAGTTCATTATTTTTGATTTATGAAAAAACCTGCCGTGATAAGGATAATCCGTTTTAGGATTTGTTATCAGTAAGTAATTTAGAAGTAAAAAATATTTTTTTTATTTTTGGATACGAAAAAAAGTTTAAATTTGTAAACTAGTGTATTTATGTAATTTTTTCTAGGAAAAAAATCAAAACTACAACGAAGACGTCAAAGGCATTTTCTTGTGGATTCCGACCTCAAGAAATTTTAGATAACTACTTTTCTCCAGAATCACCCATTGAAATAGGGATATTTGAAGTTTACAACAAAAATGTGTACCCTGTCCCTTTATTTCTTTCACACGTTCCAATACTGTCCCAAAACCTGATGAGATAGATTCTGTGACTTTTTTTTTATTTTCCAAATGTTCCACGCTGTTAATTGGAGTTTATTAAACTAGTTAATTTTGTAATTAAGTATATCCCGTAGGAAAAAACTAAAGGTGTAATATCCGGACTTCTGGAAAAACAAGCCTGAACAGACCATCTCCAGATCCACCTATTGGGGAAGGGTACATTCAATCGAGGTAATCCCGCACCCTTCCATGATAATGCGCAAGAGCACCGTCTTAAAATTATAAAATCAACATTTTTCAATAGTTAACGGTAAATTATCAGTTTGAATAAAATTTAAATGAACAATTCCCTTTAAATTGTCTAAAGAAATAGGGACCAATAATTTGCTTTCCGAGGACCCGACGCCAAACGTTTGCAGAGTAGACTGTTTGAAAATGTCCTCTAATCCTGGGCGCGTTATCTTTGCTCAAATAACACAATTGTGTTCGTTAATTTCAACAATACTTAAACAATTTTCTTTTCCCAAAAAAGAACCAATTCTTAAAAATATGAACACATTTTAATTTGCGAGTCAAGTTGAAAGTTAATTTAAATTCAATTTTTGAAAATGTATTGTTTATTTTTTTTTTTCTCCGATGTGTATTAGTGTATTGTGTATTTAAATTTGGGTGCCTCTATGATAATTCTGTGCTGAGGTTTTAAATAAACATTCTAATTATTATTATTAGCACACCATAAGAAAAATTGGTGTGAGGCCAAAGCAGAGTCATTTTTAACAATGTCGTAATTCTTCAACGTTGTTTTTTTTAATGAAGAATTTTTGGCGCAGTAAGTGGGATTGCGAAATGACACACAACTTGTATACAAGCAATTTATTCTTACACGGTACATTCAAACTTACATATTACATTGTCAATACTCCTGCATCCTTGTAGAAGTTAACAGATGATAACTAACATCTTGAAACCTACAGATTTCCTTACAGCCTTCTCGAGTTACGTAAAGAGACACGTCGCGATACACGAAATAAATATAAATCGCTCATGTTCGTTTAATGCGTATGAAATGTGTATGTTTCTTGCATGTTAATAACTTACATAACAACAATCTTTAAAAGAGAGTGGTAGTTATATGTATGTATAATTTTCTCAACATCATGTGCACGAACAAAAGAAAAAATAAAAAATGAATTAAATAATGAACAACGTGGACCGGTTCGCGTGTCACGATGGTAAGTTTAAGTGGCTTTTGACAGACGAATCGGCTATTAGTGTGCTAAAGGCAGTTAGATTTGCTCGGATCGGGTCTCCTGGACCAGGTAGACCTGAGAGCCGGGCACGGAACTGGTGGTGACGAAAGTGCGGTGTTTGGCTCGAATCAATGACAAACTGCTTTCAGCAGTATCGGCGCGGTCTTCAGCAGCCTCCAGCTCTCTCTGGAAGCGGCGCACGCGGGTTACGTTCTGAACGGAAACACCCTCCTGTGGAAAAACAGTAAGCACCAAAACACACAACCTATCTGGCTAAAAATACCTGTTCTTGAAGCTGTCTCTTGAAGGCAGAAATCTTAACGTTGGCCTTCTCCAAAGATTCGCTCAACAAAGCGATGTTCTTCTGATCCTCCTCACACTGAATCATAACTTCCTTGACAGTGCGTTCCTTCTTGCGCAAGATCTTGATGGTCTCAGAGTGGCGTCTCTTCTCCTCGTCGAGCTCGACCTCCAAGTCACGGAGACGGGCTTCGAGTTTGCTGATGATGCGTTTGCCTCCGACGATGGCGTTGGCTTCGACCTCCTCCAGGCGGACGGACAAGTTCTTGACTTCGATCTCGAGAGACTTCTTGATGGCTTCGATCTTGACGACGCGTTCTTGTTCTTCGTGCAGGATTTCGACGGTGTGCTTCAACTCGGTCTAGCAAAACATTTTTGTAAAAATTACCGTAATAATCAATGGTGTGACAGTACCTGGACGCGCTGGTAGCGTTCGTCAGAAATGCGCAATTCCTTGTTAATTTCCTCGTAGTCAGCAACGAGAGTGGACAGTTCTTGTTCGATTTTGCTCTTGCTGGACGCCAGATTAATGTTGATGGTGGTGAGTTCGTTGATCCTGGTACCGGCTTCTTCAGCGACTTGTTCAGCAACCCTCTTACCGCGAAGAGCCTACAAGCAAAACCGTCACCCCGAAAACACGCCACTTCTTCCACTCACAGATTCATAGTTGCCCCTGATCTCCTCAACCTCAGCAGTAAGAGCTTGGATTTTCCTCTGCGATGCACTGAGTTGATCCAAGGTAACTTGGAGTTGCCTCTGAACCTCGTCGTAGTGGGCACTGATTTCGGTAAGTTGAAGGGACTGCTTCTTGATGGTCTTCTGCAAGTCGATGTTGAGCTTGTTGGCGGAGTCCAAGGACATCTCAAGCTCGGTGATCTGGATTTGGAGCTTCTTCTTGATGCGGGTGACCTCGGTCTTGAGCCTAGTCTCGGCCTCGACCACACGAGCGTTAAGTTGTTCAATTTCGATGCTGGTGGCCTTGCTGCAAACAAAACATAATTACAAACAAGTGATACTGCGTCACAATCCGAAAAAAATAATCTGGCGCTTCTCCCAACTATTTATAACCTAGTTACGTAAACGCATTGTTTTCACCTTGTATCGTAGAAGTGTTCGGCCGTCCTCTTATCAAACCCTTTGAGCTCTCTACTTAGCAACGTCAGAGGCTCCACGCACTTCTGTTCCATCTGCGTCAGCAGCCTCTTATCCATCACTCTCATGTGTTGAGCATAACTATGACTGTCCACCAGTTGGTGTTTCTGAAACTTACTGATTTCGCTCAAATCGAAGTCTACTCCTTGCGCTATATTCCTCTGGCTTTCAGAGTGAAGATACGCCGCTATGGCTTTCGCCGACCGACCCTTCAAGTGCTTCTGTGCCGCTCTTAGCGTCCTCTCAACATCTCTGTCCGCCTCACGGTCATACCCCAAATCCTCCACCACCCTCGACTTCAACATCTTGATCTGCTTCACGATTTCCTTCTTCTTCTTCACGTGAATCTTCTCTGTAATACTAGCCGCCGACACCGATTTACTCAACTGAAACGAACTTTTCGTTGTGGCTTTAAAGTCACGCAGACGCTCTTTGGCACTGGCTTCCGTCCGCCTGGCGATACTATCAAGAGCGCTGCTTGAATAACTCTTGACTATCTTTCTGGGATCGTATTGGCGCAAACCTCGTTCATCTGTCCAGGGGAGGTGGGGATACCTCGATCTACCTCCTCTCTCTTTCTCTTCGATGTAGTCGATCATTGGCTGGTAGAAATTGATCCCGACGCCGTAGTTGTAGTCGTAACAAGCTGTCAATGGCTGCCATCTTGATTTTTTCGGAGCAGCCATGTGTCGATAAAAATTAATGATGTACTACGAAATTAGGTCGATCGGAAGGCTCTTTTATACCATGTATGATGCATACCCCTAGGGTCCAGCCAATAAAGTCTTGCAACGTCAGTTTGATGTATTTATAGGTGGAGAGCGTGCCAGAAATGCAATTTGTTCAGGAGATAAAAGCGCGAAGGTTGCACATGAGAGCGATTCAAATGGAAACATCAGGGTATATTTAGTCCGTCGTACTTTTATAAACGTGATGTAATTTTCGAAGACAAGGATGTCTCGGGATGTTTAGAGGTCTCTGCTTTGTTCGTGATCTTCATAATTAGAGTGCATCTGGAGTTAATTGTCTGCTCAATGCGAAATTTATTGTCGACAGAAAAAACTGGTACTGCAAAGGTACTAAGAGATCAGGGGTGGGATTTTGTTTCATATAACGATAAAATATCGGTACCGATAAAATGTGATCGTCTTTTTCTTTCGCACCTGAAATTTATATTTTCATCCTTGTCATTTATCGCTTCGTATCGTATCGGTAGAAACCAAATCCCACCCCAGATACATTCATGTCAGTACTTTTCTGAAATTTCTTATTTTTATAGGGACAGAGGACATCAATTGACATCGCAATGGATGCGTATTTAGTTTATTTTAAGTTTTCGGCCTATACCGAGATCTTTTTTTAAATTTTCCTGTGGTACCTTAGTCCAGTTCGGTGTTCAAAAATAGATAACTGTGCACTTTGGGAAAGCCACAATTTTCTTTTCAGCTTTATTCCAGTTCGGTGTTCAAAAATAGATAACTCTGCACTTTGGGAAAACCACAATTTTCTTTTCAGCTTTATTTAATAGCGGGCCCAGTTATTAATGTAAAATTAAATTTTCAGGGCTGGAGCTATTGTTATTTGGCGGCCCTCTTCAAAATAAGTGTGCAGTTATTTTTCCGTTTAATTCCGTAATCGTGAGTCTGGCAAAAATTTTGCAAAGAGGATTTTTCTAGATAATACAATTATCTACAACTTGTGTTCATAAGTTTTCAACTAAGAGATGAACAAATCTGATGAAAAATATATTAAAAACCTTAACTTTCTTCCTATTGTAGTATCCCGATTCGAATTTAAATTTTAGGCAAAGAAATTATGAACGCCGCGAAATCACATTTGAATTTGAAACCGGACTAGATGAGAAGAAGTTACCGGTCTTGTTCATTATTGTTTCTCCTCTGAAGCCATCAGGACCTCTCTATCGAGGAATCCAAAGGCGAAAGCTCGGTAATCACGTAGTTATTCTGGCTTCTTTATGTCAATAGTTTTTGGATGGCTCTTTTCTAGATATTGGTAAAGTGTGGCATAATTTAATATCATGTGAATTCTTTTATATGAATTTATTTTTACCTTCTTTATTTTGTACATTACTTGAGATGTTTTTAATATTCGTTCTCTGTTCGCAGGTTCGAAATGGAATAAAGTTTTTTTTTTGTTCTAAGAAATAAGCACTCATTTTTCCTCGTTTTTTTTTCTATTTAGTGTTTTTAATTCCTTCACTCTTCCTACTCCGCACTGCCCTAATTTAATGGACAAACGTGTACCGTCATTTTTCAAAAACACACAGAAGGATTCCATTTTGTAGACGATTACAGTTCAAGGCCTAATTTTGAATTTCTCGCGGGTTTTAAAATTTTGTTCACATGTCAAATTTTGACGTGATGTTTGGGCTATTACACTATAGAATCCACATCTACTACATTTGGAAATTCCCAAAAATGTCAAACCAAACTAATCCGTTTTGTACCCCTAATTTTAGAGTTATGTCACCTCAAGGTTTGTCGTCCCCTATTTGTTTTTTGTACATTTTTTTGTCAAACTCACAGTTACGGAGATAAATCAAAAAAATAATTGCCATTTTTGCCCTGACGGTCGAACATTCAAAAAACTGTAACATTTAATTTTTAAATATTCGGTAGTACGTAGATCTTTTTTTAAACCTTCCTTTGGTACCTCAATAATTGGTGTATTTTCGTTCGTTGCTAAGTTCCAAAGATCGAAGTCTTTTTTAGTACTGTTTACTAATACAAACAAAAATAAACCGGTACCTACCGAATAGCTTCAATCTCCTCATCCTTCTCTTGAAGACGCTTCTCGGCCTCATGACGGTACTGTCCAAACTCGGAAGCCAAGCGTTGAGAACGCAATTCCTCAGCTTTGCGACCCTAAAACCACCAATCAATCCCCAAAACTACCTCAACCGCACCTACTTACAGCTTCAGCCTCTTTGTAAGCAGCAGTAAGCTCATCGCGCTCGTTCTCCAACCTGCGCAGTTCCAACTCCAACTCATGAAGGCGCCTGGTCAGCTCCGTAATGGTGTTCCTAGCATCGCCCAAATCGTCGGCCAACTTCTTGTTCTCCCTAGCCAGCTGATCCTTCTGCTCGCGGGTCTTGTCCAATTCGTGCACAGTCCTCTGCAACTCCTGCTGCTTGTTGCGCAAATCCCGCTGGGTCTGTTCGTATAAGTTGACAGTCTCTTCGAGTCTGGTCTTCAAGTCGATGTTGATCCTTTCCAACTGTTCGACTCTCTTCTGCAGCTCCCTGGCGGTGGTGTTGGCCTTCTCCAAGTCGATGATGAGGACTTCGACTTCGGACTGGAGACGGGACTTCTGCTTCTCGAGGTTGTTGATCTTGATCAAAAGACTCTCGATGTGTTCCTCTTGTTCGGTGATCCTGGCGGTGAATTTGCGGCGGAGTTCCTCGACTTCTTCGGCGCGGGCGTGGCATTCGGCCTCGTATTTGGACTTGAACACTTGGACTTCGCCGTTGGCTTTGACTAGCTGACGTTCGAGGTCGAGGCGAGCTTCGCTCTCCTCTTCGAGTTGGACGCGGACGGATTCGAGCTCGATTTCGACCTGGTGGAGCTGGGCTTCGAGGAGGGAACGGCGGCGTTCGTCATCCTCGGCGCGGCGGCGGGCATCTTCGAGCTGGCTGGCGAGTTGGCTCTTCAAGTAGTTGGCGTTCTCGAGGGTGATCTAGAGAAGAAATATGTATTAGTCACAGCAGAAAGTGATTTTAGAAAACTTTGGAACTAGAAAAGGTTCTAAAGATTTGGCCTCAGTTACTTCATTTGATTTCGAGAAGGTTCCAGAAGAATTCTGTTTAGAAACGAACTAAGGGAGTTCTACTAAGGTTTTCTGAACTGGTATCAAATAAATCAAGTCATTTAAAAACAATTGTGAAAACTAAAAGTCCCCAGAAGATATAGATCTTCATGAATTAATTGAAGGTAACATTCGGGAAAAATTCTATTCAAGGATGTACTGAACTATCGAAAAGATAAGACACGTGGAGAAAGAAAACAACAACAAGAAGTGGTGTTATATTCTAAGAAGATACTGAAATCTGTTACAAACAAGCCGAAAAAAGAACAGATAGAACGGAATTTTTATCACCTTCACTGAGAATGAAACCTTTTTATTGTTGTTCTAACCCGACAGCATTAAACATCTATAACCGTTTTTTAACCAGATTTATTGTCGGTTAGCCGGGTTATTTCTTACTTCCAACATCCATTACTTTCGTTTTGGAGTAGCAGCAATAAAGTGACACTAAACAAACACCCATAAATTGAAATAAACACAACTGTGCTTCCAGACCTTCCATTTATTACCCACCTTAATATCTTGAACCTCCTTGGTGAGTTCGACATTCTCCTGGGCCAAACGGGTCTTATGCGATGTGATATCAACAATGGTGCGGTTGAGTTCCTCGATCCTAACATTCAACTCTGTGATGGAAATTTCCAACTTTTCGACATGTTTAATGGAGATCAAACGTTCCTTGTTCAAGCTCTCGACTTGTGACAACAATTCGTAGACTTCCGCTTGGAATTTGCTCTTCTCCTTCTCGGCTCTAAACAAACACGAAGTTATTGTTAGTGAGAAATAACCATTGAAACCGTAGGTAGTGTATTTTTAGAAAATAAGATACGCTCCAAATACAAAGCTTATAATTAGATCGGTAACAGGTCGAAACTGCAGCTGATCGTATAACGCTCATTTTAGTCGCTTTGGAATTTTTCCTAATTCATAATTCGCATGAGAGGAATTTAGATCTGGCACGACTAATATGGTATGGATGAGCAAAGAGCTAAATATAACAAGCGGAGTTGAACGGAGATGAGCGAATGCGAGTGCATTACTCACTGGCGAAAAATATTTATTCTTTAAATTGTGTGTCTATCTAAAACGATCGTGACGAATTGTATACTAATTTATAATCCTACTCAATTATTTGTTGTTGTCTGACAGTTTGACAATTATTTTATCACAATTTTAGAACTTTGAAAAATTGGTGGATGCGCCGGGTGAATTCGTAAATAAATTATTTCTGCGGAAGTCATAAATTCAAATTGATTCTAAACACATGCACCTACATTATTTAAGTTAATTAATTCTATTTTGGATTGTTATGTTCTGCAGAATTATGGGTACGTCGACTACTGCGTCAGTAATAAAACTGCTAAATTCAGTTCAAAGGAAGTGTACACTTTGAGGATGTGCAAATCCTCGTTTTGTTTGGACTCGTTTGATTTGGTTAAATTTATATTTACTGTGAGTTACGCAGACGTTGGTAGGAGTTATTACTGGAATATGAGTTCTGGTGATGTGTTTATAATTCTGACATAATTAGGATCTGAGCAAACGTTTCTGAAAAGAACCATTAAGTGATGATAATGTGTTGTGTTTTATTATTATTACCTCTCTATTTTCAGTTGTACAAAAATGGTGTATTTTATGATCCGACACTTATAAAAATTATCAAACTAAAATGAAATAGTGTTGTGTGACCATCAGGTTGGTATACCTGATTATCAAAGTGACATTTATGACACCAAGTCAGCTGGCATCATCTCAACCAATCAATACGTTTGTTAGGGGTACTCATGTCAAAATTGACAATTATGAACTGCCATACTAGCATGATTCAGAATTGCCAACACAAAAAGTTGATTTAGTCATTAATGGTCACTCGATTTTGTTGAATATTGTCCATCCTGTAATATTTACAACGTCTAATGCTTCCAAATTTGTCACTTATTTTTAGAAAAAAAAAATGTATGAATTTCTTTTTCTCTGTTTTAATTTTATGAATAATCCTGAAAAAATAAATTTAAGGACATAACATTTGATGTTCTAAGACCGGTAGATCTTTGTTTCATAATGACACCATTTTTTGTCTCTAAAATGACAAAATAAAATCTTCTAAATTAAAATATAGGATGTTTTGGCTTTCAGTTGAGGAGCGAGAATATTTTTTACATATATTTTAGTATTTTCATTTTGTTAATTTCCACATATTTCAAACAATTGGACCATGTTAACCAAAAACGTACTAACCGACAACATTGCAATTTGCGTAATACTAGAATAAATTTTCATTAAAAACTAAAAATTTGTATTAATGTCGGAATAAAATTTTTGCCTTAAGAATACATGACTTTATAAATGTAGTCTATTTTGATAATGGCATCAAAAACACCCGGTCCTTTACAGTTTTAAAGAAGCATTTTGGCGCTTGGTTCTTTTTTGAGAAAACCATGATATTAAATTTATTATTCCGTAAAAAGGCACTAAGTAATTTTTTGAAAAATATTATATATATTTATATTGATTTAACGACCTGCTATAAAAGGGAACGTATGCCATGAAACAAAAACAAAAATGATTAAGTTAAATTTGTTTCGCCTAACTCGAAATCGATATCATCTGAAAAACCCTCCACATAAAATTCACACTTTATCCCCGTAAGTTTTTGTAAAAGAGTTTTGCATCCTCGGGAATAAAAGGACATAATGTTTTTAGATCTGCCAACTTTTTACGCGATATTGCTTTTCCATTGGGCCATAATGCAGACAATTTTCTAAAATTTTTAGAAGTCTTTTCCTTTTATGTAGATCTCATTTTCCTGATTACTTTTCATAAAAATAGAAAGCGGTTTATCTTTAGTAAGTTTAGTGACTCTTGTTTTCAAGCATCTAATTTTTTGTTCATGTACGCCTTCTATTTGAGACACTAGACTCTAAATCGGCTTCACTACAAAAATTTTCTCTCTGCATAAACTAAACAATAAGTGGATTTTTCTTTCTACAATTTAACATAATATTGGCGTAATCTTGTGGCGTATATACTTAATGACTTCAAAATCTTTGTCATTAGGTAAAAAACTATGATCCGAAACAAAAAATTTCAAATAAATCGTTTGTTAAGTAGAATGTTGCTATAATATTGATTTTAACATGAATACAGTTTTTATATTACTATTTTGACGCCCACAAGAGTCAAACCACAGAGTTAGTTCTGTTATATCCTTTTTGGTAAAATTTTCAGTAGGTATTAAGCTCTTAAGACAAGATCCCACCTTTTGTACGCCACGACCTATTTTCTTTTTTTCTAAATAAAATAGTGTCCTTTCCTTGTTTTACCGGCGTAAATACCCTCGTTATAAAACCAAAATTGGCGCTTATAAAACACTAAATTTGTAGGATAGTTACAAGGAAACAAAGCACTGCACAACCAATTAAAAAAAGTGCTGTGTTGGTTGGTACCTTTTTGATTAAAACATAATCCCAGATTTATTAAAGGCGCATAGTTCTACCTCAAAATTTGGTATAAAAATAATTAAGAAAAATAAAGTATTTTTACAAATTAGTTTTTGACAATAAATTCTGACTGATAGCATGTTTAACTCATTTTTTGCGATTTGGCGCTTAGTACGTTTTTGGTTAAACATCGTTCAATTGGTCTTATATTATTAGACAAACTTCCCTCACCCCTGAAATACAATTATATAAATTCAAGTATTTAGAAAAAACAATGCAGATAATACCTATTACAGTGTAAGATAAAAATATAGAGCTTGTTTTCCTGAATTCATTAATGTGCCATATGCCGCCACTACCTTTGATTCGAACACATTGTGTTACAGATATACATTCTGTTGGCTTGTTTATACCGGGTGTCTGAAATATGGCGGATTAACTCTCCGCTACGCTCTTAACAATCAACTGGTGAGTCTGGGAAAAAATAGTAAAAAAAAATCCTTCTCACATTTTGGTGGAGTTATAATAGATTTAAAATTGGTTCTTTTGCTACGTTTAACAACTAAATAACACATTCATTATCACAATAACTAGTAATAAAATTTTTAGTTAATATTTCTCTCGCCCATGACCATGTTTAATTACCATTTCAGTTAGAATGTACAAAGATATGGTCGTTTGGTCGTCTTGTTTTTGTAATAATTTGATAAAATTCCATTTGACAACATTTGCCTGAAATAGTTAAAAATGTTTGACGTATCAAAAATTGTCAAAATTTTCAAAACCCTGGTGTTTTCCTGCTGGATGAACTTGAAAAAATCTTTTGAGCTTTTGGTGTTTTATTTTTTACGAATTTTAAAAAGTCTTGAGTGCCGCAGTGTTTTTTTTTAATTCGAGAGACTTAGGTACCCATAGTGTATTATTTTGGGAGCCCATGGAGATTTTTTTTGTAAATTATTTAAAACAATTTTGAGGAACTTTGGTGTTCTGATCTACCTGTTCTTGAGTTAATTTTGAGACCCCGTTTTTTTTTTGAAAAATTTAAAACAATCTTGAGGTTCTAGGTATTCCTGTTTGGAAAGAATTTGAAAGTACTTTGGAACCTCTAGTGTCTTTTTTTATAATAATTTAATTAAATTTCTTAGAAGATATGTTTTTTGTCAAAATGACTCTTAACAGGTACTAGCCCCGCCCGCCCGCCCTATCTTTCTTAGAGTGTATTTTATTTGCCAAAATCACTCTTGGCAAGTAGTAGCCCCGCCCACCCACCCTTTTTTTTTGGAACGTATGTCATTTGAAAAAAATCGATCTTATCTTAGCAAAAACTAGCCCCGCCCACCCACCCTCTCTTTTCTTAGAAGGTATCTCATTAACCAAAATCAGTCTTATCTTAGCAGCTACTAGCCCCGCCCACCCACCCTCTCTTTTCTTAGAGGGTATGTCATTTGCCAAAATCCGTTTTATCTTAGCAGCTATTAGTTGTTATGTCAGGTACCGGTTTCGGCCATAGCCTTCATCAGCTCATATCGTTTTTAATTTTTCCCAAACCTATTATACGATTATTATAAACTGAATTTAACATTAAAAACTCAAACAATACTGTATCTGTTCAAATTTAAACGAACTAGAAAAAGAACCTTATTCAATCATATTGTTTATATTTGGTCCGGGACGGAATGTATGTCATTTCCGACACGTGCACTGTGATTCTAATAAAAAAAAAATAAAAATTGGAACGGCCGTCTATCAGTTAGGCTTACGGAGCCACGTATTATGTGACTAAAGGAGAAGGTTTAAACAATAAAAATTATTGCACTAATAAATAAAAACAAGGCTGATTCATGGATCACAAGTATGTATGTACAGGAGTATTATTATTATATATATATTATATGCATTATTTTATCAAAATGAAATGGTTTACTAAGCAAAAGGTTAGGGTTGGTCTGGTGGTTTTGATGATTATCTGTCTTTGAAAATGCGACACAGACAGACGGACGGAAAAGGGAGACCTATTGTTTCATTCTATAAGTGTATAAATCATCCGTATAGAAAACATGAAAGTAAACATTCGGCGGACATTACAATACTTCCTTAGCTTACGCTTGAAAAAAAAAAGTAAATTAATATAAATTAAATATAGTTGAGGCAAGTTTTAAAATAAAATTTATAAGTAATTAAGAAAATTAATCTACAATAAATATACGATTTGTTACTCAATAACTATTTATAAATATTTTCCAAAATTTAATAACTTAAATTACATTGCAAATCATAATAACGTTTAAGAGTTATAAAAATATTTTCAAAAAATAAACAAGTTGAAAATGACATTAAATTGAGTCATAAATTCGTATAAAATTCTGACTGTAAAATTAAAATAAAATAGAATATCAGTTAAAAAAATCAATAATAATTAATATAATAACAATTCCTTATATAACTGTAAAATAGTACAGGATTCAAATCAATTCTGTCACGTTAATAAATGCTCTAAATTCCAAATTAGTCATTATTTTTTATAATTTATGACCTATTGGTCACTAGGTCACTCATTTTAACACACATTAAATTAAAGAGTAGTTAATAAGCTGTTAAATGATATACAACACATTAACGTCAGTTGTTGTTTGTTTGCTCCAAGAGAGATTTTATTTATAGCGAAAAAAAATTAATACGAACTCATGACTCAACCTTATACAATTTTTCACCGATATTTTATATCTATTTATATCATCTATGTTACACTCAGACCCCCACTTTTTTTTCGTACACAACAAAGATTAACTAAATATATGGCAATAAAACTGTGTATACTAAATTTCATTTTAAGCCAAAATTTCTTCTGATATCTCTTATAATATTGATCGATAATCTCTAGATATCATCTAATATCCTCAAACATTCTCCGGTATCCACCTTTGAGTCTTGTCTTGATATTTTTGTATTTTCTACAATCTTAGATATTCTTAGGATTTTCGAAATTTCTCTAGTTTTAATTGATATAGATAGTATTTGTTGAACATTCCAGCGTTGAAAATACGAAAACTTCTGAAAAGAATATTTCTTCTTTGTTTAGATTTTAAATTTTAAGGAAAATATTTTTAATTTTGTCAAAAATGTGGATATTTATTTAAAAACTGATTTTTGGAAGTCCTCTTTCTTAGTTTTCCCGGCTTTAAGAATAAAGCTTTCTTGAGGATCTTCTATGTTTGTAATAAAAAATTGTATGAAATTTCTAAATCTGTATATACATTTTTTTCATATGCCGTCATCTTTTTTTTTTTTAATGGATAAGCAGACACAAATTTTGATTGGTTTTTAACCATGTTCCCGATAATCTGAATGCTAGTTCAAATTTCAAAGCAAAATTTCGATCTTTTTGCAATTTTTCAATCTAGGAAAAGAATAGTTTTAAATTCTAGCGCTAGACCCGAACAGTTAAAGTTAAATTCAACACATCTTGCCCGAGTGGTTCCTAGCACTTCAGTTTATAGTCGCTCTCGCCTCACTAACTCCTACTTAATTGGTTGCTCATAATTAATCGAGTACAACCACTTAAGCGAACTCTAACACCCCATTAGATAAACTAGCAATTCCCTCTGGTCCTTTCAAAATCCCGTGCAACCCAATCAATACCCCGCCTTTATACACCAATCTAAAGCCGCATTTCCCCGTCGCGACATATTTCGAATGTTGTTGACCGCCACATTCCTGTCATAAATCCCTCATCGCTTCACCCATCTCCTCTCAAATTCCAAACAAAACCCAATTTTCTGGTATTTTAAACACATTGTCTGCGCCAGAGCAACCTGGCGACGTTCCAAAACAACCAATCTAATTAAAAATGTATCGACACCACAAAAAACTACATAACCTAACCTGGATTTAGCCTTGGTAACCGAATCGATCTGTTCCTGGAAATCGACAACAATTTCTTGGTGCTTCCTCTTCAAGATGGCGGCGGTCTCTTCGGACTCCAAATGGACGTCCTCGAGAAGTTTGCGCAACTTGAGAAGTTCAGTGTCGCGCTTTTTGTTGATCTCAAACTACAAAATCCGGGAAATTAGTGACGCGGCGGACCGATAGGTGGCGGCGTTACCTGACTTTCAGCGCCACCTTCCGCTTCTTCGAGACGTTCGGACAGCTGGATTACTTGCACGCTGAGGTCGGCCTTTTCTCTCTCAATCTGGAAGAGCGCGAAAAGTTTTTAAATTAAGTCACTAGGGTTTTTTATGCAAGGCCAAGCGATATTGTGAAGAAGGTTTCTTTTGTGATTTGACACTATGTCTCGATGTTGACTGTGTTTACGTTATAGTCATGATTCACATTTCCATTTGTTTATGTTATATATTGTATTGTAAGTGTTGACCGGTGTCAGAATCAAAAATCCCGAATTTGCATAACCCGCCATTTCCGCGTGACTCAAAATGGCGTTTGGTTCCGCTGACCACTAATTTAGAGCTTTAACCTTGGCAATTTTATAACCCCATTGAACGGGCTTTTCGCAACGAAGAGGCCCGAAAATAGACCCGGTCCATACGAGCGTGAGCGAGTGGACACGATGTATGGTTTTTTGGCGAGATTTCAGTCAAATTTTTGCGAAAAAATTCGGGTTTCTTCATTTCGCTTGGTGTCGAGGTTGGAACGGAGCCAAGTATGCGCAGGGTAATTGAGGGTAAAAGTGGGTATTCGATTGGGTAATTTGGACGTGGGTTTTTCTCGTGAATGCGTAGGGCTATTTTTGGCTCGGAAAAGCGAAAATCCGACACCGGTTGCACCTTGCCAAAAATCGAAAATAGATGGGTTAAAGCAAAGCGTAACCTAAATAAAGTGGTCTAAAAGCGGTGCTTTGCGTAACGATTAGGTAACTTGGAGTTACTCACCCTCTGTCTGAGTTCCCTCTCGATTTCGAGATCTTCATTGAGGAGCCGGATTTTGTCCTGTAAAAAATGTATTAGAAGTGTGTATATCGTGGTGGTACTTTGTGATTTTGTGTGTGTGGTCACTGAGTACGTTTGCACTTGGCACTGCACAGGAAAATCACAAAAATACCACAATTTCGCGCACTGGCCACTTTGTTACCTCTAATCTGGTAAGGGCGCTCAGGTCGGCGCTGTATTCGATGCTGACGTCGGCGGCACCGCCCCCGGTGGAGCGGTAGGTGTACTTGGAGGTCTTCGCTACTGAGGAAGACATTGCGATTTCTTAGGTATTTCCTGGTTCGTTTTGGTTTGGTGCACTGACCGTCGAAATTTCAGTGTAAGAAACCCGCGTGCTGCGCCGCCTGACAGTGGTGGCTAAGTCGTTCGTATGAGCGTCGCGACGGCGAAAGCCGAAATAAAGTGCGACGCGGAGGCGGCGCCTGCGTTTTAGCGACGCGCACCGTCTTGCGCAGCTCTGACTCAAGCGACCAACATATTTCTGGAAGGACGCAGGGGTATTTTTGGCGATTGTTTATGCAGTTTTTGTGCATGTTGATACGGGACTAAGTGGCATGCTTCATCGACGATGATTTTATTCCTTATTCATACGAATTTTGGCCCACTTTGGGCTTTAGTCATTTTTCATCAGATGCTTCTCCAATTTGTCACGGTTGTTTTGGCCAAACGTCACGAAGTAAATCGCTGGATGAATAACATGTTTTAACTTTCAACGAGGAAATTTATAATAGGACAAGATGTCGTCTTCCGTCTTTTAGGTTTAAGGGTTTTTTGAAATATGGGGTGTTCATGCCTCCTCGGTGAGCACAAAGGAAAAAATATGACTTCCATTTGTCATTTTTGTACTTCCTTACATGTAGATTGAGGTTACCGAGTATTGTTCTTCCGTAATAACATATATCAACATTATTCGTAGTTGAACCACTGTAAATGATTAAAAAATGATATATAATTAACTCAAATGTGTAGCGATAAAATAGAAAAAAAGCTACATAATTATTCTTGTTGAAGTTTCCTCGCCTGAGAAATACAACTGCTACAATATGCACTCAGGACTTGTTTTTCAATTAAAAATTTAGTAATCTTGACATCATCTTCATCGGCGTTCTAACTAAATAAGTGACTTTTATGAGTGTTCTATCATCACCAGAACGACATTATTATTATCAAAACTTTAAAGAAACACGTTACGTAAGTTCCAAAATACGTCAAAAAAATTGAATTATACAAATATTATTTTTTATTTGTATATGTACCCACGGGATATCAGAAATAGAGATAGATTATTATTAAACCACAAGTAAAAAATCATATCAAGATGAACACTTTGAATGAGTTTTCCAACAGATATTCGATGACAAACGACAAACACGTAGCAGTGGGAGGTGTGAAATGTAAGAAAACATCATATTAGACTACTTGGACATTCGTCAGATTTTTTTTTTTTTTCATTGAACGTCTGATATTCTGAGGTTGAAGTAGAAAAAAATAAACAAATAATTGTTTTATAAAGAACTTGAAAATGTAGAAGCTTCTGAAATGTGCTCAAAGAGTAAGACGGTGTTTAACAAGTCTTAGAACACGATAAGATTTTGATTGGTCTTATGTTACAGATAGCAGAATTGTATAAGGAAAGATGTTGTCAAAACTTTTCTGCTACATAAACTTTAGAGCATTTTTTTTATATTAAAATTAATTTTGGATTGAAGCTTTCAGAAATTTTTTATTACAGGTGTTGAGCAAAGTTGTTAAAGAAAAGATTGGTCATGAATTCTGAAACTTCAGAGCTTTGATCCCAATGTGTCATCACAATAATTTTAATTCAAATTATTTTACCCCAATTCTGAGTATCGTAGGCCTCAAATGTAATTCCCTTGAGTTTTTATTATTCATTAATAATAATATATCAAAAGTAATCGTAACATATTGTTATTCCCTCACGACTTGAAGATTTTGCGCCAACAAACTGTTATAAATAAATATAAATAATATTGTGAGGTGGCCTAAGAGATTTTAAATTATTAATTAAGCTTCAATGAAGCAAACCGTTCGGAATGTTATTTTGGATAATTCTTATTTTATTATTTTTAATATAGGCGACCCCAACTGTATTCTCAAAATTTTCGGAAAATGGGGTTCTTGATTTAAAAAAAAAATCATTGTCCTTTGTGTTAATAATTCAACCTAACGTCAGTGCTCTTATACCGGTATAAAATGCGACGATACGATTTAGACTTTTTTTTTTGGAAAATCTGAATGCCTAGGGTAAGAAATAAAGGCGGATTCATAAACCATAAGTATATATGATAGGCTATACGCCTGTTCTGCCATCTTAGTTTTGGTCTTCCCTTTGCTGTTTTTCCGGGTGGTATCCACTCTGTTATTACTTTTAACGGATTTTTTCTTTTCTCTTCTCTTTTTATTCTCTGGACTTTTATTACTTTGACGAAGTATGTCCTCATGTTCCATCCATTCTTGTAGTTTGTAATCCATCCTGGGTCTGCCTTTTTCTTTATTAATTAATAATAATTATTTTCGGTCCTACTATCATTTTTATTATCTTCCGTTCAAAAATTCTCAACTGTTCTTCTTCCTATGTCGTTAAGTTACTAGTTTCTGCGCCATACATTTTCATTGTTGTGTTCCTGTTTATCTTTAAATATCCTTTTATTTATGTACAATACATCTTTAAATCTAGTTTTTCATTCGTCCTGTTAATCAGTATTCCTAAGGATTTGAAAGTTTCTACTTCGAAAATCATAAGTACATATGGGATTTTTTTAGTAAACGTCATTTAAATTTTATAAAGTAATATTCCTAAACCTTAAGTATGGGAATGTTACTATCTACATGACATTCAACATGTAAAATTTTACAATTGGACCTATTTTTCGTACTCTATGGATTATGAAATGTCCAGAAAACATAAAAGTTGCTATTCGCACGATGGATCCTACTAGTTACTTAAACTGGGCCTTAAGAGGAGTCGTTACGTTTGGCTCTTAAGGTGTTTTTTTTTTGATAATTTATTGTCATATATTTTTTAAATTTTGTTGAAATTTTCGCATCGCGTATTTTAAAAAATCAATATTTCAGTTATTTATGGAAATTTTGGAACGGGGTTGTCACCACTGTTTTCAGCTTGCAAAACTTTAGAAATCGTACTAGGTTTATTTTTGAATTTATTTGTTGGGACTGAGATATAGTAAAAATAAAAGTTAGCAACTTCTATGACACAAGCTTCTTTTTTAATGTGGATCGTTTCTAACAAAAAAAATCGACGATATATTTGGTACGATTTCTGGAGTTTTGTAAGCTGAAAACAGCGTTGAAAACCGTATTCTGAAGTTTCATTTAATAATTGAGATATTGATTTTTAAAAATATGTCATACAAAAATTTCACTAAAATTAAATGAAAAATATGATCACAAACTGTTTTTGACAAAAATGCCCTTGCGTTATATAAAGAAAGTTATCGGCAACATATATTTAAAATTTCAAAACCATAGGTCTGTTAATAACGGAGATATTATTTTCTGAAAATAAATAGACCGAAAATTCTCCTCAGAAAACGTAGCGATTGGCCTTAACCCTCACTAAATGCAGCGAGGATACGAGCCTGTGGGCGACTTGAAGGTTACCCTCAACGGTCCGGGTCTAATTAGTTATAACAATTTAATGAGTTAGAACTTAAACCTCAAAGAAACGGAATTTGTAGCATTTCTTTATTTTATTAACCATCCGTTTGCCAATATTTTCCAAATAAAAATCTCTTAGATTTGATGTGAATTTATCTCCTCAGTAAAAAAAGAAAGATGGAAAAATGAGAACAGGAAACGGAAAATCCAAGGGCAGTCAGCGATAATTCAGCTTCACAAGCATTGTTTTGAAAAACTGCTAAAAATGAAGTATTCTGGTAAATTTATTCGGACAAAAATGAATTTGTATGTTGCATTTCGTCACCTTAGAACTGGTTTGCCGCATATCCAGATCGCGTCCGAGGGATTTTCGCCTCTACTGTTTGGTGCAGATTTGCCGCATGTCGCACTTGGGCGAAGCGAAACATAGTTTAGATTCAGTGCTGATTTGCCGCATGTCCAAGCAGAAATCGATACAGTACCGTTATCCGTTTTTACGTACTTCCTTGCTGTTTTGCTTTTCAGCGTTAGGTTTGGGGTTGGGAAAGAAATCGTATTCAACTTCACGCGCAGAACAATAAGAATAATGTGAAATAAATAAAAAAGAGACTTAACAATTTTGATGAATCTGAAATTAAAAAAAAGCAACTGAACAGGCTTGTATATTAGATGGTGTTATTTTTGAGTAAAAGAACGGTCTTCTTTCAAAATTCACTCCAAAATGACACAATATGAGCAAATCTTCAGATCAAATACTCGATTTTTTAGTACGGATTGACGAATATATTAAAATGTGTCATTTTTGGCTTAAGACACAGCCCTTTTTCATATTTAACGAGAGATGACCCCAAAACGGCATATATACTTGATACTTGATCCATTGATTTTGGAAAGACTAATATATAGGAAGGTGTCATTTTTGACTAAAAGAACAGCCTTTTTTCAAATTTAATAAAATATAACTCCAAAACGGCACCACATACCGCACTGCAGTTTTAAGCATTCAATTTCTTGAACCTATTTGGTTCTATGAGCAAATTTTCAGATACTCGATTCGTTTAGTACGGAGTGGCAAATATGTAAAGGGGTGTCATTTTTGGCTTAAGAAACAGCCTTTTTTCAAATTTAACGGGAGAAATCCCCAAAACAGTACAAGATATAATCTTTCCTTGAATTTTTTAGCTCTATAAGTAAATTTTCAAACCGGAAAATCGTTCCATTTAGTAAGGAGTGACGAACATGTGAAAAGGTATCATTTTTGACTTAAGAAACACCTTTTTTTTCAAGTTTAACGAGAAATAACCTCCAAACGATACAAGATCTCACCTTGGGGTTTAAAACATTCGATTCTTTGAAATTTTCTAGTTCTGTAAATAAATTTTCAAACCGGATTCTCGATCCATTTAGTATGGAGTATCGAATACCAAAGAAGGTGTCATTTTTGACTTAAGAAATAGCCTATTTTCAAGTTTAACGACAGATAACCCCAAAACGGCACAAGATATCACCTTGCGGTTTAAAACATTCGATTGCTTGAAATTTTCTAGTTCTATTAGCAAATGTTCATCCCAGATACTTGATCTATTTGTTTTGGAAAAACTAATATATAGGAAGGTGTCATTTTTTTAATAAAAGAACAGCGTTTTTTCAAATTTAATGAGACATAACTCCTAAACGGCACAATATATCGCATTGCGGTTCAAGCATTCAATTTCTTGAACCGTTCTGGTCCTATGAGCAAATTTTCAGATCAGATACTCG